AGATAATGGAGATGTGACATTGAAAATAACTGTAACACGTACTTTGATCTATTTATGGTCTGTCACAGGTTATTAATCAACAAAACATAATGTTATGAAACTTGAACAGAGATAAAATTCCAGACCATTTGGAAAATGTAAACTGAACAAGGAAAGTCAAAAACAATCAAACTTGTTCTTTCATGTGTTTATTTAAAATGCATTAGCCTTATGAGTAAGAAGTGATTTTGTGCAACACAATAGTCCAAGTCATAAACTCATACATCATAAAGGTGTTTGTCTATTTCCTGTGTGGTGTAGGAGTGTGAAGGTTTTAGACTAGTAAATAAAGGTTGGTCAAAGACGTCATGTTGCAAATAGTTGTAACATAGTTACTATCAAAGCATCATACCAGCCATGGTAACCAGAAGATTTAAGTAAACTAGTGACAGTCTAGTGTACACTTTAAAATCTCAATAATTAGGCAATACTGTCTTGTCCGCTATTCAGAGCCTATCAAAGTGTGGCTATTTGCTGTAAAGCAGAAATTTATCAAAGAAAAAACTGTGTGAAACTAAAGTATATGCTAGCGTATTGACGCATTTACTCAGAATAGAATATATTTTCATAGACATGTTAACTGAATGATCTGTGAATATGACAAGTAAAATGAAAGCGAGTAATTTGTGATGAAAGGTGTGTATGTGTATAAAAACTATCTGGGAGTTTTCATGCTCATCAGTCAGAGCAAGTCGGGTGCAGTGGGTCATGCGAGATGGTCATCAGGAGATGATTGTTAGTAGTCATTCTGGAGGGGTAAGAGGTTGCAGGTTGTTATCAGTCTTTGGGGCACTTCATGAGTGCTTTTCAGTCAGGAAGAAGGTTGCTATCCACTGTCTGTAGGCAAGGGAATTGTGGGTGGTCATCACAATAGAGCGTTGGGGTTTATTAAAAGTGAAAAGAGACTGTTCTGATAGAGAATGACCACTTTGTGAAAGACTATCCTATTTGACAAGAGAGACTGCCCTATCAGAGAAAAACTGTCCTGATGGAGAGAGACTGTAGTATAACAGGCCGTTGAGGTAGAGGGAAATGGTCGTAATGTGAGTCTATCCTAAAGGTGGCCATACACTTTACAACCATCGCAAGACCTTAGTCTTGCGATGGATGTAAAGTAATTAAAAAAATGTACGCTCTGCCCATTTTGGACAGGCAGATCGTACTTGCGATCATCGATGACCACAATGCTGAACGGGCAGTGTGCGGCATTTGTCTCCCGAGCATGCCACAAACCAGCTGAAAATTGTAGGTAATGTGTGCATTGTACTTCATGCCCTTCGGAAGATAATAATATCTAAGAATGACAACAAAAACATATGAAATTGGCTTTAATTGTGGTGTGCTGCAGAAGATGAAAATCTAGACATCTTGAATACTGTTTTCAAGAATTTCTGGGTGGAGCGACACCCAGGGATCAGACGCAATCAAAGCAGAACTAAACACACTGATTTAACTGTTTCCCAAAAGAATACTCAGTTCAGAAATGATCAATTAATTTAAAAAAATCCTTAATCAAACATACCAATGTTGTTGTTTCTTTACGTGTTTTCATTTATATTCTGCCTAATAGCGCATGTGCAGCATAAGCTACATTCAAGGCATGCCTCTGGTAATAACTGTCACAGTTGCCTGTGTGCTTATGCTAGCTCTCAACTGAACTTTTAAACCCTTAAAGTGAAACCAAAAAGTGAGAGCAGATGGGCTTTTTATTGCAGAAGAGACATATCATGCCATTCCCCCACCAGATTTTTAAGATGGCTGAAGACCTGATACCTGGAAGAAGCCAGGAAGTGGAGCTTGCAAGCTGGGCTGGTGCCCATTGGGGGGGGGCACTGTTCTTTGGACGAGAATATGTCAGCAGCAGCGAGGGAGTGATGTCATAGCTGGTCATGTGTGCAGTACTTTGGCAACTGCAGACCTAAATAAAGGCTAAGATGGTGCCATATTCAGCTGCAAAGGTTTAGTTCCACTTTAAGTTAAAGGTAATTAAAGTCAAAATTGAATGTTAAACTGGAGACTCAGCAATAGCACTTGAAGTCCTTTTAGATGAAGCTCATCGAGTATGCTCTAAGGATCCTATTGAACTCTTTCATACATTTAATGTACGTAGAATGATCTGTACTGTGCATGTGGAGCTTTAGAGATAAATCCTGAATGCATGTACCAGGCTTGCAAGGTGTTAAAAAGGTTGTCGTACAAAACTGGATGTGCCTGTCCTTAGCTGTATAGATCAGTGTGTTTGGTAACCCGATCGCATTATTATTAGCTGCCTCTTCTAAACAAAATGCCCTCACTCTAGCACGGATTGCAATGCTTTGTTCAGTAATGGCAAGTAGCTACTTAAGATTAGAATAGGATCAATCAAAGGTCAGTAAGCCAATACTGTTATTTACAGGTGGTGCCCAAGTAATTTTAAAAGCTCAAGTATATCCCAATGATTTGATCATTATGGAGACATGACTTTAAAGTATATAAGCAAACATACATTATGGCAGAAAAGCCATCCACAGCTTTGTGCTTCTATTCATATGACAACAAAGAAGAGATTTACAGTGAATGAACGTAGATTAGCATGAAGTACATCAAATGATCAATCGTTAAACCTGCATGTCATCTTCTGAAAGTGTAGTTCCACGTTTGCAGTCAAATTTGAAAAAAAAACCCACACTATATGTTTGTTATGTCTTCCCATTCACACAGCATACCTAAACATATTTTTTTTAAATATTTTTCTTATCTTTTTAGATGTTTATTTGATGAAGGCCTTTGTGCAGATTCCAGGCTACTCTGAGCAGTTTAAAAGTAAAGGTAGAGGGACAGACTGAGCGTCTCATTAACATACAATGGGGGGAATGTATCAAAACTGGAGCAGAGAGAATCTAGAGAAGTTGCCTATGGCAACCAATCAGCTTCTCTCTTCCGTGCTCAGGTAAGATTTGAAAATGAGACAGAGAAGCTGATTGGTTGCAGTGCAAATCTGCTCCAGATTTTGTGTGCTCCAGTTTTGATAAATTCCCCCCACTGTTTCTAAATCATTAACCCTTTGTTAGGACAGACAGTGTTCATATCTAGGTTGAACTCTGTAGACATGCTGGTAGGTTAATTGGCTCCTCTCTCAGTTGGCCCTCTGTGTATGCATGTGAGATAGGGACCTTAGATTGTAAGCTCCATGAGGATAGGGACTGATGTGAATGTGCAACTATGTAAAGTGCTGTGTAAATTGTCGGCGCTATATAAAAAATACCAGTAAAAAATACCAGTAACTCGATGGACATCTATCTTTTGTGTTCTAGGTTGAACTCGATGGACATGTGTCTTTTTTCATATATAGTTATATGTAACTATATCTAGTTTACAAATGATAATGAAATCTGCCAGCACAGTACAGACAGGGTTCATTAGAGTAAGCATAACATTACATAGTGGGAGGCATGGTTGGTTTTTAGGCAAGTATGAAGCACTTTAAGCAACAATTTAAAAAGAAATAGGTTATGCAATAGAAATGAGAACATACTGTATAACAAATATCAAATTGTTGTTTTCTAAAATTGTCTGTAAAAGCAGAAATGCACTTTAATTTTTTTTTATTGAATAATTTTAGGTTAATAACTGATCATTTAAATTAAAGCCCATGCCAGACATTTTCTTTATTTTGGATAGTATGGGGAAGGGTCAAAACCTTTGTAAACTCTTATTGCTGTCCATGTCTCTGCCAGGCAGATTCACCCTCACTTCCTGCCTCAGTAAAATGCTGTCATACCCTTATTCAGAGTGTCATGGGGACACCTAAGCAGGAATACACACAACAATAAAAATTAGATTCTAACTCTTCTCCACTCTACTATAAAATACTGACAACAATAAAATCCTGCGATTTTTAACCCTTACAGTTCCAAAATGAAAACAATGGGCTATGGCTGGACTTAGGCTTAAAGATTCATATAAACAATATTACTTTTCAAATTTAAACCAATGTATAAAACAACTTTACAGCAAAAATTACATTTTGTATTGAACTTTTAATTTGCAGAATCGAGCTTCATGAAGAGTTTGCAGATTATTCATTTAAAGATTTCGGTTTTAAGTCTGACTTTGAGGTCCTAATATTATAGAGGTTGATCTACTAAAAGCAAATTTTATTTCCAAGAGAATTTTTACTTTGCAAGGAAATATTCCCTTAGCCTACTGAGCGAGGTGAAGCTCTGCTGACTTCCATCATCCAATCATCTGCCAGCAAAATGACTGTCTTTTTTTTATCCTTACACGTGATTGGGTATTCTTTTCAGAGTGAATTTTCACCACATTCACTAAGCTAAGGGAAAGTTCCCCTGCAAAGTGAACAGCCTATTTGCCTTTAGTAAATCAACCCCTACCGGTTTTAATAATTCACAGCATATACTGTATATAGCTCAGCTAATACTTCTTTGTTTTATGCATACAAAATTTAGAAAATATATATCAATATTTCTTATTAATTCTATTTAAATCAATTATAGCATATTCAGTCGCATGGAATGTCAAATTAAATAATGACTGTACCATAAAGTGCTAAAACTGTGTAAAGCATTCACATATGTCTTTAATAGGGAATATATCACAGAAGAAAAGACCTGTGTGGAAGAGTGGCACAACCTGTTCACCTGTTCACACTCACTGCAAGAAATGTCCCTGTGCTAGAATTTGCAAGCAATAAGTCAGAGAATGATTGCTTCCATTTGCTTCCATTAGTTTCTCCCACAAGTATTATGCTTTGTGACAGACTCCCTTTCAAAGAAAACTGGAATGCCTCATTATACCCACTGGTGGTTCATGGTTGTATGTAATCATCCAACACATGCCTGAGAAGCATAACTTATTACATCATTTATGGCTATATACATTCATAATTGTCTATACATATTACTCTTGAAAGAAGAGTAGATGAATGTACAGTGCTATATTTTTTTAACAATAGGCTCATTTTACTGTATAGGAGTTTGGGGTATTTTAGGAGACACGTTTGGAGAGAGCCTTGGGGACATTGGAGCTCTGTTGGCAGGAATTTTACTTCCAGACTCCATATTTGGTGATGTTTGGTTAGGAGTTTGAAGTCTTTTAGGTGTAGCAGGTTTTGTAGCATTCTTTCCTTCATCTTTGGTAGGACTATTGGGTGGGTTTTCCTTCTTTTGGGGGGTGCCACTTGATGCTGGTGGTGGAGCTGTAGGTTGAGTGGGACTGGCCGCTGTTTGCTGTGGAGCTTGAGCAGTGCTTATAGGCTGCTTTGTGTCTTTCCATCTTCTGGCACCAGACTTGGAATTATATTCATAGACATTTCCTGTAACTAGAAGACCCAGATAGAACTCTTTAATGTTAGCACGTACCATGGTAGAAATAGCAGTACAGGCTTACACAGTGGAAGGTGTTCCCTAGCTGCTACTAAAACTGAATGTAAATTGTTTAACAAGCACCAATCTGTCAGCTTCCTTAATGTGATCTGGTCAGGCAGGTCTGAGACTTAGTTTGTTGCAACCTGTTGAACATACACCATTGTATGAGAGATTTCCTGTATTATCCCACATCTAATGTTTGTATGTCTAGCTAGTGAGTGCCTGCCTTTTTCTGCTAATCCATTTTAATACTCAATTCAGTCTTGATCAACATAGCCTACAGTGTGTTGCCTATGCCAGAGAATGAATATAGTACATTTAATAATATACTGTATATAAGGCATGTAGTATTTAAAGTAACAAACTCTTGATTATAGACTATTTTAATACTAATTCAGTGTCTACAATGGTTGCTGGATATCACAAGGATCATTATAGGACTGCATTCTGAAATCAAACCTAACATTATAAACTGAGCATTGGTTTATATGTGACATAATAAGACATTTATTTATTAATGTTAAAGTACCGCAGCGCTGAATACTGAAAAATGGCCTGGATGGGAAGGGGGTTTAACACCGCGGATGTCAATTGGTTAAAGAACAACAGCAAGTAGTCAGAACACTAATTTCAGAACAATAAACTATGATCTTTGGTTTGTACACATCTATACCTTTCTGTATGTGTTTAGTGACTTATAAATGTAATTCCACCAATACAATGAATATAATGATGAAGTTAACATACTGATTGTATTTGCGGAAGGATTATGCTTAGTTTAAAATGTGAGTGAATGGTAAGACATGTTAAAAGAAACGTAAAAGGTGACAAGTTTAGTTCTAGGCTTCTATTGGCCATAGTATTTAAAGCTACATTCCTGCCAATTAGTATAATACACAGTTAGAATACATATTTGACGCCCCTGCCACAAAGTACATTCTGGAGTATAACCTCACTTATCTCTGCTACAAACAAGCAAAACAACTTCTTAACAACCCAACTTCAAGAGTGCTGTTTGAACAATGAAGAAGCATCACCAAACCAAATAAAATGTCCTTATGCTCTTCCTTTCTTTTAAGCAAACTCCTAGTGTTAGATCGTCAGCCCTGTGCAATGTAGTAAAGTCCTAACTGGCCTACAGTGCCGGTCCTCCATTTTTCAGCCTTAGTATGCAGAATAGCATGGAAAGCAAATACAAAGATAGGTGTCAGGTACTTACAGTGAGAGCATTTTAATTTTCATTAAATACATTTTTAATAATACTTAGTTGGACTAGAGGCTGGTGTATTCTGAAATTGGTGCTAATACAGACCCTGCCAAAATAGCATGTGCTGCACTTAACCTTCATCGAAGATGGCCATAGTTCACAGCTTTCAACCCCATGAATCTTACTTGATGCCCTCAAAAAAGGATGCCAATCTCTCTCACAGATCTATATACAGTATGTCTGCCTACCACCACAACAGTATATACATCTCCCTCTCCCTGCTGTATGTATTGTATGTGCAATAAGTACATTTCCCCCATAGCCTCCCAGCATATTTTTAGCCTCCCCCCATGCATGCCACATACTCATCCTCGGCAACTGTTCAGCTCCCTTCTTCAAACATAATTATCTTCCCAGCACACATTCATCCTCCAACAGCTACTTACTTTCCCAGCCCTAGCAGCAACATTCACTTGCCTCCTCTCTTATGGGGCACAGAGCTTTGCACATTACACTAGTGATTCAAAACAGTCCCACCTTCTGACTGGTTGAATACATACTGACAGGTCAATACCATACATTACATATCTCAGCACTAGATACATTTGCACTGCATTTGGCAGCATTTGGCTACAGCACAGCATGCCTCTTCTGTGAGTGCTGTGCCAACAGAATAATACGCCAGGATGCACCCCCTAGGAAACGTCCCATTCACTTTTGCTACATACACAATTCTTAGATTATTGCGTGACTGAGCTGTGGTTTGTTTACTAGTATAGTTGTTTGCAAATATACTGAAGAATGCCAGTTATTTGTGAATGAAGGTGAAACTATGCTCTTGTTTTGTTCTCTGTTTACTGATGTATTAACTGAACTGTGGTACCCTTGCTTGTTTACAGAAGGGAGTGGTAACTGTAACAATCTCTGAAAATATATTACTTAATTGATACAGTATATGTATAAAGGAGGGGTGTTTATTGCACACTTTTTCTATTACCGAACATCTTTTATTATATCATATCAAACATATGTGTGCATACATATCACAATGATCTTTTTTCCTTATACTCTTGAATTGTACCACTATTTGGGGATAACAAGTGATCCTATGCCTCCTTCCCATTATTTACATTAGAAATACAGCCCTAAACAACAAAGGGACAGAAAACAGAAAAGCACCAGCTCAAACGGATGTTAGAGTCCAGAGCCAGGCTGTTTGATCAACACAATTGTCAAACCTTTTTATGGTCTTTGACATTCGTTTTGGTCTGTGGTCTTCTGTTCTCTGTCCCTGAGTTGCTCCCAGTATCTCCTATTGGAGACAGAGTCTCCGAGCTGCCTAGCCATAAGCTAATGATGTACCTACAAATCAAGTTGGGTTTATCAAAAAGGATAAAAGACTCCTTCCAGCGCCTCTAAAATATTCTCATGATTTGAACTAAACAACAAAAGGCGCTCAGTCATGTAAACATGGTGATGTAGATATGGTCCAACCATACATCACCAACTATGGTTTAACGTAGAAAAAAACAGCAACAATCATGCAAGGTTTTCCAAACTGTCCAATGTATTCTCCCCCTGACAAGCCTTTGCCACCATTATCTGCTGCTACCATATTGATATTAGAACACTTTCCAATCTGATCACAAACAGCTGGATACAGACACATAGGTAGACAAACCTCCAGCTTTGGTGAAACTGCAAATCCCAACATCCATCCTCCTCTGGGAGTCATGCCCGTGGCTGTCGGAGGCTTGCAATGCCTCATGGGATTTGTAGTTTCCCCACAGCTGGAGGGGTGAAGTTTGGCTACCCCTGCTCTATATGTTATAGGCAGCTTAGGGCAGGAGAAATACATACATCCAGAGGACACAAGCTGGATATTCAAATAAGTAGAAACATTTTGAATATACAAAAGAATGCAGACATTGGAATCATGTGTTTAATAATCTTGATGGAATTACGTGCGGAAAAATGATGAGTTTATGAGCATCATGCTGGTGGAAGGTTTTAGTGTTTTTTTATACTGTATGTACAGCAGGATGTTTAAATAAATTAAATATTATTTGTATACTGTTATAGAGTTTATAGAAGTTTAACCTAACAGTGGAACATTAGAGGAGTATAAATTGTTGATCCACACCCTATTTCCTGTCAAATAATTTTTACATGAGAAATACCAAGATGAGAGGAAATATATAAACAATAAAGCAACCTGATTTGTAAAAGCCACTACTAGTGGGTGTGAAAACTGTATTTTACTATATTTAAACTTTTCTTATGTACAGTCTTTATATGCATGTGAGTATTAATACTTTATACATATATGGCTTGTTTATATGAATTAACTGATGTTAGCTAAGTTTAATATACTGTACAGCAAAACTTACTTGGGTCTACAGCTTCTCCATCAAAGACTGTGTTCATTTTAGTCATTTCCTGTGGAATAAGTAGAACCTAATTATTGCATCAATTCAGTATATACACTGTACAGTGTGTGTATACGTATATACACATACAGTATACACACACACACACACACACATTTATTTGACAAAGAAACAGTACATGATACAGGATTCACACAGCACTACAGGTTAGCTAAAGAGACAGCAAAGACTGACTGCCTTGAGGCTCCATTTGTCTGACTGAAACCTCAGGTTAAACTGTCCAATAAGTGATTAGTCAATGTATTAAGTTAGTCCCTTTTTTTTGGTGTAAATTTCAGCTTGAGCTTTTAAGCTCTACAAACAACAGGCTTTTAACCTAAGAAGCAAATAGGGAGCTTGGAAAATGTGAAAGGGATGCTGAACCTCCACCTACTGGTTCAAAAAGCAAATTGTCATAATGCAATAATGTAAATGGTATCTACCTGACCCATAACATTTTAATTTTAATATATATATATATATTAGTTCTTATTATAATACATGAGTCCACTCTACTACTAAATGGAGTCTACTCTCCTTTAGGAGGTTTGGCACATGCTTTTATTCTGTGGGGTATTGCATCATGACCGCGGATCCTCCACCCTTCTTAATACTTCAAGGTCTGATATTTCTTCTGCTATAATCTTCATTGGCAACATTACTTACATTTTTTACCCCTAATTGTAAACAATTAAGTTACCCATGCCAAACAGTCCATGCCTCTTATGATCTCTGAAGAGATCCTACTTATAGCTGTGTGGCATCCTGATAAAGAATAACTTCTACTGTGGTTCTGTGATAACTAAATATTATAGTTTTCAACAACTTACCCACACAACATCTTGTTTAACCTTCTTTTCTGTGAAAATAATATAAAACATGTTTATATATGTGCAATGTAGTTTTTAGATGTTTTCATTTGGGAACATTAGGAATTTATGGTTAGAGTTTAACTTTTAAACTTGTAGTTTAAAAGTTTAAGCCATTGTTCCCATTTTGTTACATTTCTACATTGTCTTTGTTTATCATTATCTATATATGTTACATAGTTGTCTTTTTTGAATGTATGTAATGATTTATGTTTATAATGTATCTGAATGTTCTGCTTTTTTATATTATACACAGTCTCATGTAGTAAATCATGGTGTATTTATTTTTTATTAGGGAGGTGAAGTTAGTTTCTTATGGCTGCCTGTGTATAAGACGGTCAACCACATTTGTTAATATTCAATAAAAGTGTTAAAGACTGCTAGTATAGTTATTACTGCAGCTCAAGCAGTAATAACTATGTTAGTAGTATTTAACATTCCGAAATTTGTCTACAAAACATTTTGTACATTACATAATAGTTGAAATGTATAACGGTGTCCTTAACACTGTACAGAATGGTAGTTGATAGGCTAGTAAGATGTAAGGATATCGCTGCTACATTATTCTGTTACACGCATTATAAACCAGAGCATGTTTAAATAGAGCAGACATATCAGACTGGACATTTTGAATGACATGGATTTGAATGCATACTTCTACTGGAAACATTTTAGATGTCCAGTTTCCTAGATCACAATAGAAACAAGGCACTTGCTCTGCAATGGCATATATAATCAGCTGTGTACTTACCCACAGGTTTAATTCTGTAGGGGAAAAAACATAAAAAATATATTAAAATGGTATATAATAACACAGCGCTCATATTTCCAATATAATTTAAAGAGCATTATGATGTATTTAAACTAATAAGAAATTAAGGTCATAAGATAAGATCGAGCAACCACTTTCAGTATTGGTAAATAAACAGCAGAAGTGGTAACATCTCTTTACATTATATCCACTAATTGGCCTCTCAGGTTAGAAACATTACATTTATTTATTGTGAATCTTTTACCTAATTTAATCTAAAAGGGGACCCCTGTTTGACATCATTCCAGCTAACAGTTCGAAGGACCCTACCTCTGCATTTACTTTATTTTATTGGAACCAAAAATTTAAATTAATAGTTCCCATTAGGTGCCTCTGAATGTGGAAATAATTGTCCTTTTCAATATAAAGATAATCGACTACCTTTGGAACTTTGGAAGACATAGCATAGTCTACTGGCACAACTAGAATAACAGCAAAGCCAGCAAAAGTGCTGGATGTAAAGAGAGGCCGGTCCATAATACTATATACCAGTGGCGGCGAACCTTGGCACTCCAGCTGTTTTGGAACTACAAGTCCCATGAGGCATTGCAAGGCTCTGACAGCCACAGACATAACTCCCAGAGGCAGATGCATGTTGGGATTTGTAGTTTTACCACAGCTGGAGTGCCAAGGTTCGCCACCACTGCTATATACTGTGACAGTGACTTATGTTTTGGGTCTGAAAGATTTTAGTATTTCTACAGGGTTTTAATTAGAAGCCACAGGGCACATTGATATGATGTCTATAAATCACTTATCTTCAAAGCTTTCTTTCAGTGTAAAGGTTATAAGAATATCTGAATGGAGACACATTGGGGTTGAATTACTTTAACTGAAGGCTGTTCATTTTGCACCTTGCAGGGAAAGTTTTGTCTTAGTTTACTGAATGAGGTAAAAACTCTGCTGACCTCCATCATCAAATCATGTGCAAAAATACAGGGTTTTTTTCTTGCACATGATTGGGTATTCTTTGCAAAGTGCCTTTCCACCACATTCACCGACCTAAAGGAAACCTCCCTTGCAAAGTGAACAGCCGATTTGCCTTTAGTAAATCAACCCCATTTGTCTACACTAAATTATGGGCCATTGTTGGTGTAAACATATCAAAAACTGCAATAAAAACGGAATATGTTTTAATCTGCATACTTACAGCATTTCAGTGTCTGGCTTGGGACTCGTCCTGCATGGGCAGTATTTTGCAATGAAGTAACCCAAGAGCCCGAGCAAGCCAAGAAGAAGCAAACAACCAAGTGTGATCACGAAAGGCACATACCAGGCAGCCTCTGAATACACATTTTTAGAGTTCACTACATAGATAACACTAGGCTGTAAACATACAAAGAGAAATTATTAAAAGTACGCCTGTCATCATTTTTTATTATTATTATTATTATTGTTAAGGAACTTTTGATTGATTAAATGATTTTTTGCAAGATATAAACAGCAAGTACAAATATTTGATAAATGTGCCTTATTACAATTAATATTACTTCTGGACCTTGATTACAAGGGGTGGATTACTCCCCTTCTATGCACGGTATTGCCTCATTTGCAGGCTGGCCTCTAAGTGAAGGAAGAAGGGACAAGATGAAGATAAAGATGGCGCTGTGGTTAATGGAGGGGCAGACTACAGTGGAGAGCATGTGGGGCGGGGGTTGCCTGCAGCAGAGAAAGCGCTCCTTTCTTTGATATGTAATTAGGTAAGCACATTTATTCATTTATTTTTACATGCTACAGTTTTGTAGGAAGATGCTAAAACACTCCCAGGGGATTGTTATAATTAATGATATGGCCAGAGGGGTGTTTTTTTACTAATTACTGCTCATTTCTACCAGACCCAACCACATCTTTCAATCATTGGGCTCATATACTATTAGCCTTGCCACAGGCAGTAGATTAGAACACAATCACTGGTAGAGAAGGGGGAGGCAGTATGTGGCAGTCATATAGAAGGCAGCAGTGAGCAGCTTTAGTGCCAAGCTATACCAAGCCTATAAATATAGACTTGATTTACTTTCAGTTTAGGAAACTTGAATATGCTTCATAGAAAACTAGCTTTACAAATCGTACTTTCATGGCACTTACATAGTCATTATTTGTCCTTATTCACAATGACACTCATTGACTTAAATAACTAAATCTGTACATTGCTGTGTCACAACAACTCTAAAACCAAAGTGTACTTACAGAAAGATAGATATGCAGATATAAAACTATATGCCATGGACCACTGGTTAAGGACCTGCAGAGGGGTTCTGTTCTGTATGGTACTTCTTGCTATTTCGATCTGTATGGAACTATGGTGCTGCTTGTGTTCTGTATGGCATTTTTTGCTACTTGTGTTCTCTATAGTACTACTTGCTGCTTGTGTTCTGTATGGCACTACTTGCTGCTTGTGTTCTGTATGGTACTATGGTGTTACTTGTGTTCTGTAAGGTACTAAGTGCTACTTGTGTTCTGCATGGAACTATGGAGCTACTTTTGTTCTGTAATGTACTGCTTACTGCTTGTGTTCTGTATAGTACTACTTGCTGTTTGTGTTCTGTATGGCACTACTTGCTGCTTGTGTTCTGTATGGTACTATGGTGTTACTTGTGTTCTGTAAGGTACTACGTGCTACTTGTGTTCTGTATGGAACTATGGTTCCACTTGTGTTCTGTATAGTACTACTTGCTACTTGTGTTCTGTATAGTACTACTTGCTACTTGTGTTCTGTATAGTACTACTTGCTACTGGTGGTCTGCAGGGTACTATGGTGCTACTTGTGTTCTGTATGATACTTTTTGCTACTTGTGTTCTGTATGGTATTACTATACTTGCTACTTATGTTCTGTATGGTACTTTTTGCTACTTGTGCTCTGTATGGTACGACTTCCTACTTGTGTTCTGTATGGTACGACTTGCTACTTGTGTTCTGTGTGGAACTACAGTACTACTTGTGTTCTGTATGGTATTACTGTACTTGCAACTTGTGTTCTGTATGGTACTGCCTGCTACTTGTGATTTAGTAACTAGCTGTAAACAGAATAGTCAAACACACATAAAGTAAAGAGAAATGCTTATTTGCTCTGAACAATGTCAGAACACAGCTGATATATAAAGGGGAGTAGTGATAATGGTAGGGTTCAGTGTTGGGTTTGTTAGCCTTGCAAGAACTGCACACCCTTTGCCTTAGTGCGTTAAATCTCTGCCAAAAGATAATCACCTTGTCACCTAGAGAGCTCAGTAACAGCGCTATATCAGGTTTCCATACATGTCAGCAGATACACATCGCAAAGCCCTAATCCAAATCATAGACAATATGTGACTGTGCGATGTTGTGAATGTTAATCTTCCAGGGATAAAGGAACTAGCTTTGTTCTAATAGAGGAGGGAAATGTAAGCAATTTTTAGGCTGCCATTAAAAACATCAGAGGTGACAGAGTAGAAAAATGCCTTTAGAATTTTAAAGCCAATTATTTACACTAAATATGTAAATAGAAAGGGACTGGCCTTGTCCCTGCATTTCGCTTATTCAAATATCTTTAACGTTAATAATGTCTGCCATGTTGCTCATCAATCTCTACTCCATAGAAGTCACAGTGTTTACTGGCAAAATATGTGAAACCACGAATCACAATGAAAGTGGTAAAAATTACCTCACATTTATGTCTATATCTCTCCAAAAGATGTTTTTCATGCACAGTTGGCCACAATAACATAATAGGGATGGTTTGCCTGGCATCAACTCCTCTCCACATAAATGAATGTGTAAAAAACTTTGCAGTGCTACACAACACTTGGGCTTCACTGCTCCTTACCATAGTACAATTAATTAAAAAACAATGCTTTCTCTATGTGTGAGAGAGTATTTGCATTGAGTCACCTGGAGCTCCTTCTAGTGCATCATTGGGAAACTACATTTTAAAGATAACTTTATTACAAAGACAATTATCTTTGAAGGTAAACCGTGCAATGATAAATCAAAATATGCACTTAAAGCACACTTAATTTTTGCTTTACATGTACCTGTTTCTTTACCATCATAGATAGCGTTATGTCTTGTTATTCAATTGTATTCTCTGCCTCTCATAGCAGAAAGGTTAGCTTAACAGGCGTCTAGGTTCCTGCAGAATAGTCTCATTATAACAGCATGGGATGATTCTTCATGCCCCTGGCCTGATATGTATATATATATCTGCTGTTCACTTAAACATGTTGTTACTATGTCGCTCTGATGAAGGGTCCCTGTGAGGTCCCGAAACGCTAGCTTCAGCTTCTAATGACATGTTGTGACATTCTTCAATAAACATATCTATATTGAATTCATCTGTGTATGTGCCGGTGACCTGTTGAGAACATTCTGAGTTTTGCACGGCGCCATCCGTGTGATCACCAGAGCACCACCACCTTTGGAAGGTTGCAGACCTAAGGAGTGCAGGTGGTTCTTGGAAACAGTGGGTTCCTGCAAAGGCTATCCTATCACCTGCCTTAGCTCAGAGCTGAGAACCAGAGGAGAACAGTTTTCTTTCTTGTAGCCCTGCCAGCATCTTTGTTATTTGATCATTTTATGAGTGTCCCTTATCAGCAATGAGCTGAAGCAGGAGATTAGACAGCCTCCCTTGGGCCATACTTTGACAGCTGACATTTCTGCTCTGAAAGTGAGAGAATACAGCAAAATAACATAAAAAAAAACCAACATGGGAGGTAAAGATGAACTATTAAAACTATTCAACAATGGTGGTCCTCCAGCACCAAAAGGTATATGCAGAGAAGAACCAGTGCTGGTGCCAAAAACCAACATACCAATGTTTTATATTTTCAGCCATGGAAGGCTGCAGGATCTTTTTGTGGTATAACAAAATAAGAAGTCATCATCCCTTGTAAAGAGCCACCATACAGCTCATTCAGTACAATAGCCATATAGTTATTTACCAATCATTTCACATAACCAGAACAATTAAAATAGAACTGTAAATCAGTTTTCCTATTAATTTACCATGATAGTTGGCTAAAAATGACTGCACTAGTATCTAGTAGACTGCATAATATCTCTAAGTAGAAATATAGTCTCTACCAGGCAACCTATCTACCGGAGATGCATGTTTTCTCTGAATGAACTGATGTATGCATAATTAGACTGCAGAGAGACTTTGATGGGAGAATTCTGGAATCTTTGTTGTGCAAAATGGTAGTTTTAGGATTATGTTTTTGGAAGACTACAGCTTATTTCACACAGTGGAGTGCCATGGTGTACTCAGACAGTAAAAGGTTTGAAAAACAGAAGCCCTAGGCATATAGACTGTGTACCATATGTGTATTTGTAATCAGGGCAACATTTTCCAATAGACACATAAAGCATGCGCTTCAGTATGCTTTTACAGATGCGCATTTTACTGCAAACTTTGATATGCAAATTTTAACATCAACATCATTCAGCAAAGAATATTGATTAATTCAAACATCAATTAGATTCCATCATAAGAGACCGTAACATACAGGGGTATAGGTACACGTAAATACTAGATCACACATGGACTCTTATGCTCACATGCACGCACAAGAGACACGTACACACACAAAGGTTGAACTTGATGCACCTGTGTCTTTTTTCAACCTCAAATACTATGTAACTAGGTAACAATACTGATATTGATAATTAATTTTGATTGACTACTTACTGTGGTAGTTGTTTTAGTGGTAGTCAGGCCAGGAATATAGACATTAATATATAAAGTCACAGTGCCAGTCTGAACAAGGCCTATTGGCTGAGGTGAATTAGATATTAAATTGCCATCAGTAATATAAACCAATAACTTGTAATTCCAAGTTTTGTCGCCACCATTGGTGTAATCAAATGGGTTGGCAAGGATAAGGCGGGAGACGTTGGACCCAGCAGAAGGTGAGAAAGCAAAATGGTTGTTTATATTACCTGTAATTAACATGAACACAGGTTTATGTTACACAGATTTGTTGTATTACTAGACATACACTTAAGACTGTACATGCTAAGCATATTCTATAGTCATCCTACATATAGTTAGATAGATTAACGCTGAACTCCCACCTATTCTTTTTTTTCCTAATGTGCGTCAATTCTTCTACTATTTTGAAAGTGATTACTCACAATTGTCTGCATGCTGTCATGTCTCCAATACAATTGTTGAATCTGCAGCATTTCTCTGGAGCCTACTTCATTCATGGCCTGAACTACTTAAAGCAGTGGTTCTCAACCTTTCTAGGGGCGGGACCCCTTGGTAACATTTGCCAAGTTGTGGTGACCCCCAAAGGTAAAATTTAGGGATGACGCGGCTGCTGCAGCGACATCTGGTGGCGTGGCGGGAGAACTGACACTGCTGCGCTAGGAGAAGGCTGAGGAGGACTCTCACCTAGCACAGCAGAAATCACACAGCGACCCACAGGTTGAGAACCACTGGCGTACGCCGTCAGAATAAAAAAAAAAAAAACACCACAGCAATGCATAGCTAGATTCCTATTGGCTATTTCACTTTGCAATAGCCAATAGCAAACTAGCTATTGCACCCGTCCTCTGCTGCTGTCAGTGACTAGAAGAAGACCTGGGGCCGGCGGCCATCGATGTCAGAAAAAAAAAACGATCGCAGGGAAAGGTTTACTCTGCTCGAATGAGCAGAATAAACCTTTCCGGGAGAAAGTGTTTCTCTCCCAGGCGGACGGGAGCCGCTATCTAATAGCGGGTGACTCCAGGGCGACCCCTGGCAAGTCGTCATTCGACCCCCGACGGGGTCGCGACCCACAAGTTGAGAACCGCTGACTTCAAGAGTTAAAAATAAACAATAAAGGTGATCAGCCCCAGTAAGTGTAATGTGGAAGTAAGAGCTACCAAGCACTAAGGATATAACTAAATATCTGGAAATGTGAAAAACAATATTGTGCCGAGCTAATAATCATACATATCTAATAAATTGAAACATATATAAATGAGTCACATATATGAGCCTTCAAACAAATGAGGCATAGAAAATATCTACACAAAAACAAAAAAGCAATATAGACAAAAAAAAGTCCCAAGGAAAAAACAAAAGCAAACAATGGTGATTATCCTTACCTGAGAGTTATATGCAGATTGGCTGCGAATCATCTGAGGAATTCTTTTGCACAATCACCATTGTTTGCTTTTGTTTTTTCCTTGGGACTTTTTTTAATATATATTACTTTTTTGTCTTTATGTAGATATTTTCTATGCCTCATTTGTTTGAAGGCTCATATATGTGACTCATTTATATATGTTTCAATGTATTAGATATGTATGATTATTAGCTCGGCACAATATTGACTTAAAGAGTTACTTTACCCACCAATTTAATGTCTCCCAAAACAGTTATTTTGAGGCATGCCAACTTTCTATTTTAGCTCTCAACCAAACTTTCAAGCCTTCCAATGGCTGGTGTCATAGCTGATCCAAACAGACGCTCAGATGGCACCTTCCTTGGCTGTAAAGGAACCCTACCCCTACTGTTGTTTGCCCGCCTTCCGCATCTATTTGTTTTCCCTGCTACCAATCTATTTTGCTTGGATTTGTTGTGGATGTTAGCATTCAGGATTGGCATCATTTGTGGGTGTGATTACTTTGTTTACTATGTCAGTTGTGAGCATTAGCTTGTGTGGACTGTATGCAGAAACAGTCCATTCAGGAATGCCTACTCCTGGTGACTCATAGTGGTATCCGTGCAGCGCACAGACCCTACTACAATTTGCACTGTGACTACTGCTGGGAGAGGCAAGATTTGACCATGGGTATTTATTTATTAATTTTGTAGGATATTGCAATTGGCAGTATTAAAGTCTATTTCAAGGCAGCGTAATATGAGGATTATAAAGCCATCTTTTGGTTCCTACCACCATGCAGAATATTTTAGCAATGCAAAGACGGGTGAGAGAGCGAAAGATGGCTTCGCTTGGTCTACAAACAGGTATGTTTCCAAAATTGGACCTTTTAATTCAAACTTTTAATTGATTGTACATACACTACGCTTTAATCAAATGATTATAATTATAATTCTAAAAAGATAAATCTTAAAAATGTATTCAAGTACCCGTGATGGACTACAATCTCACGTTTAATTTAGTAGTTTGTATTGAGATTGTAGTCAATCATGGGAGGGAGCTTGGAGCAGTGTCTACTTTACAACACACACAAGGCCATGGGGAACAACAGTAGACACCCTCCAGAAGGAAGGGCAGTGTCAGCACCAATTCAGAAATGATTTGAGGGTCTACAGCTGACTGATGCACAAATAAGGTACATTTTTGTTAATAGCGGAGGTACTTGAATGCATTTTTAAGATTTAACTCCTGAGTTTAGTGTCTCTTTAAAGTAAAATAGTATATAGTGTAAATGTGAATTCCAGACAGCAATAAAAACCTGAACTGTTTTGTCCATAACACTGCTGACAAATGTAGCAGCTAATAAAATGATGTGACCTATTTTATTCACAACTGGCCGATATATTCACAGTATGGGGTTATCTTTACTGATGGACAGAATATTTACCTGAATTAATAGAATACTGGAATGATGTGGGTCCAGAATCTCGATCTGTACATGCCAGCCTAAAATTCTGAATATTTGTTCCTGTTGCTTGATCCACTGGTACAGACATTGTGTATGAATTTGGTGTACATATTGGTTTTTCATCATTAGCCTCCAAAATATTCACTGTCACCTAAATGGTAAAGGCAATCAGTTATGTCCTGAGGAGTCATTAAAGATTTATTTAAACATAAAACATTTTCAGAGCATGAAATAGAGGCAGCAGGATATATCATTCTACAACTATGAAAACAATTCTACACTCCTGTTGCTTCTCTGTAAGAATAAATGGACCTATTTACTTTATATTAGACCATTACTATTGCTTTTTTTTTAACATGAGCTAAGCACCATCTGAAACTGCGAAAAACAGCTCCAAAGCTCCCCTAGCTGATAGAAAACAAGAATGTATAATATTAGTATACATGTAGTATGTATAATAAATACATAAAATATAAACAATACCACTACCTAGTCCATTTAAGCTGTCCCTAATGCTGTACTCAAGCATGGCAATTTATTAATGTATGACAACACCTATTACCCCCAAAGTTCTAGATCTTTTCAAGTGGTAAAAGAAGTTGCCGGAAGGCTGCATTTATTAATTTACAGGGTTATTCCCAAAAGGGTGAAGAGTTGGGAGAAGGCAGGAGAAGTGAACAATCTAGGACAACATAGCTAATTTGAAAAGTGAGCTGGACTGGATAATTTTTCCAAATCAGCTATGTTGTCCTAGATTGTTCACTTCTTCTGCCTTCTCCAAACTCTTCACCCTTTTGTGAATAACCCTGTTAGTCTTTTTTGTGATTAAAAGCTTATTGAACTACCCCCTCTCTTTTCCCTTTCCTACCTACACCTGGCCGATGTACCCTCTATCTATAGGGTTATGACCCAGGGATTCATCACCAACTAGGGATTATAGGACTGAGGACCTTCACCGGAATGCCTGCAAGACCAGATCCCCTAACCAATAACAACACTCATAACATGATATGTGTAGCCAGCAGAACACTTAATTCACCCTGTGCAGGAAATCCCTACACTTAACACCAAAAATAAACACTTTACTTCTCCTCAACATTCTGGGGCAGTGGTGGTGCTTTCAAGTCAATGGCAATGCAGCCATGCCTCCCACCCCACAATGCGTTCGCCAGTGCAGTCTGGTGCGATGCAATCTCAAAAAATAGTACTTGCGCTATTTGTTGCGATCGCATAGGACAGCACCAAGGGCATTGCTGTCCACGCGTTCTGGGGCGGGGCGATTGGGGCGGGGGGCGTGGCTGCAGTGCCATTGACTTGAATGCGCCACCACGCCTCGGAACGCAGGGAGGATTTTATCATGCGATTCAGCGTGTTCCAGCCAGTGCTAGAACGCACTGGATTAGGTGTTAACCACTCTATGTCTAGGGCTACACAGCCATTTTAGTCAGTGTTTGAATTACTACTAACACACTGTGAAATTTTATTTTTGTATAATATTTAATTCTCTCAACAAGCTCCTGCAATAGCATTAAACATTGCCTGCGTAACTCTCCTGTTTTGAGACGCTCGGAGATACCGTGACCGTAACAGCATATTACCTGAGAGTAACTACTATCTCCGCGTCTCTTTATTATATGCATCACAGTACTGTTTACTGTACTTTGTATGATATACACTGTCAAAAAATAAAAACTTTGAAACAAAAAAACATTGCCCGCATAGCCCAAGGCACAATGTTACAACACACCTAACAAAGTTGAACTCACTGGACAACTGTTATGAAACATTGATAAAATAAAGGAGCTACAGCTAAAACAAGTTCTGATTTCCTTGATATATTACATCATTAGATTGGTAAGAAACATCTACCAATTGAATTAATGTCATTACAATGTACAATTTCTTACTGAGGTTGTAGAAGTCTTTGATCCGGAATCTGTAGCTTGAATTAAAAGTTGATATTGTCGAGTAGTCTCATAATCCGTGTAATCAGCAAGCTGCAATTCCCCAGTAGTTGGACTCATCCAGAAAATGTTTGAAGCGTCCAGTGTGCTGCCACCAGCTACAAGTGTGTATGTGATACCGATGTAGGGGTAGTCTGCATCTGTTGCATAGACTTGACCAACCCTTGTAGAAGCTACAATGACAACAAAATTATTTTACTAGATTATTAATCATTTAGTTCTACTTATGGGGCTAATGAGAGTTCCTCAGCTTGACATTCTGCTGCAGCCAAATAGCTGGCAAGGGAGAAGTGCACATTGCTGGTTCAATTTAGCAATTCTATAACTAATGAGATGTCACCAATGCTAGACTTGCCCATCTGACATGGGCATTAGAACAAATTCACAGCTACTTTGTTGGGCTTTGTCTTTCTTTCATCTGGATGAACACTGAGAAATGATATGATTAAAGAAAAACTCCGGGCAAACGTTTTTCTTAACCCTTGCCATGGGGTTGCCCCCCGCACTGCAAGGGCTAAGTGCTCATTTGTGCCTTCGTGCAAAAATAAAACAATTATACTAACTTGAACCTTGCAGCCGGTTGGCTGTTACAGAGCTCATTCCAGCCTGTCTCCCTCCAGCAGTGTCCTAACGTCCTATACACGGAGGTGGATTTATCAAACCTGGAGCAGACAAAATCTGGAGCAGCTGTGCATGGCAACCAATCAGCTCCTTTCTTTCATTTTCAAATCTTAACTGATCAAACTGAAGAGAGAAGCTGATTGGCTGGCATTGACAACTGCTCCAGATCCTGCCTGCTCCAGTTTTGATCAATTCCCTCCACAGTGTATTGGACGTGATGACTCATGGATCCTTAGACTGCTGCAGTCGAGGGGGAGAGAGAGGCTCCAGGGACTGGTTTAACAACAAGCCGTATACGAGGATCAAATTGTTGTTGTAGTCCCACTGCAAGGGTTAAGAAAAAGTTTGCCTGGAGTTCTGCTTCAGGTTGTCATCGATTAACTATGGCATGTATTTAGTTCTTGTTGCCTGTTTTACCTTGCAGACAACTGAATAAGTAATGAAATGGTGCTCTTTTATTGGAACACTTTGCTAATTATAATTCAGCCAAATGCTTGTTTAGATTTTACAGTATTGGTTGAGAAAGAAGCACTTGTTGCTTAAACAGGTGCATACCAAGTTTTCAAAATTTGGTCTGATCACAAGTTTTGATTAAAAGGATTAAATAAAACTACTCATAAAATATGTCCTTGCAAAGAAGAAAGTAAATATTCACCTCTCCCACTGCCCATGCAGCTGAATGAAGAAAGTTGCCTCCTGAAATCTCGACAAAAACCTAAGCTTCCCACTGTACTTAGTGGTTTCTCCCGCTGACTCCTATGTCACTGCAGGACACAGTAGTAACTTAGGGGCTGGCAGAATGTACCACTGAGCACTAGAGGGGACCAAGAATCTAAAACTGCCAACACTTCAGGTTGTGATATTTCTTCATTAGAATGGCATTAGGTGGGGAGGAGGAAGAGGAAATTATTTACAAGGAAGTCTTTTAGTAGCAGTCTTATTTAAGTGACAGATTTGGTTTAATGTAATGTCCATATTGCAAAATTGACCAGTGTCCGGCTGCCTGTGTAGTGCAGGCAGCTTGCATTGCTGGCTGCAGCCCTGTTTTAGTTGGGTGTGGGCTAACTAATCCTGCCTCTGTGTTTAGCAACCTGTCTTGCTAGCTGCAGAACTAGCATAGTCAGCTGTGGCTTAATGAATCTGGCCACACGCCTCCGGTTCTGGGATTGTCCTTGTCTCTGGTGGTGCCTTATTTACACGTCACTAACCTGTGCATCTGTGCTTATAATATTTCAGTTTACACTAGCCTGTGTTCGGCCTATGTGTATCTTCTCTCTGGGAATCTCTCTTTTTGCCTATGATCCTGACCTCAGCCTGTTCCTGGATTACTCTGCCTGCCATCAGTCCTGACCTCAGCCTGTCCCTGGGTTACTCTCTTTCTTAAGCCAGTCCTGACCACAGCCTGTCCCTGGGACATTCTCTGTCTGCTGCCAGTCCTGACCTCAGCTGGTCCTTGGAAAATTCTTGTCATGTCCTCCATCACCAGTCTGTACCTCTGCTTTGTACCAGGGGCTAGCCTGCAACATTATTAAGTCTGAGCATATCGGCACTTCGGGGCATCCAGTACCAGTAGGCACACTTACCTTGGGGAATGGCAGCTGCTATAGGTGATGTAACATGCCACTATTTACGCTGACTGAGTTTCTGCAGCCAGTCCTGACAACCAAGATCCAGTAAACTTATAATAAGACCTCCCTTTACAATTTGTGCATTGTTCATTGCTTACATATGGAAATTTATGCAACAACTCAGTTTTTTTTATTTTCAAAGGTAGGTATTTGTAGTATGTATCCTAAAAGAATAGCCCGGGTTTCTTTTTATACAAATATAAGAAATTGTATCTCTATTTTCATTTTTTCCTTGCTACACATTGTTCAAAGGGAAACGATAATGGTTTGGGGTCTATTTTATTTAGTTGTTTTTATGTTTTTAAATATTGTCTGATAATTTCTACAAAATGCACAACCTTCATTGGACAACTGCACATTTAATAGATAACAAGGACATATGGGTTAGTCTAAATAACTAGCAAAGCACTAGCAGCCTGTAAGTTGATAATATTTCGGCATTTGAATAGGAGCTGAATGATTTGCCATTCATCTAACCAAAAATATTTTGTATTTGAATCTTAAATACTATAAATAATGTGTGTAGAAAGTTATGCATTCCCTTTGACATAGTTCCTTTTTACATTTTCTTCCACAACTACTTATCTCCATACTATGTTACATCAGAATATTGCACTGTGATCTTACTTACGTGGTGAGAGTTCCGAAATGTTAAACACATAAGAGGAACTGTTGAACACTGGGGGATATTCATTAACTGGGGTTGTTTTCACATAAACATAAATATTTTCTGAAAACAGAAAGGGATATCAATGTTTGTTATTACAAAATAGGCTTTAGTACATGTGAACCAGATCTTAAATAAAAATAATGCTACGTACGTCTGTAATATGGATATGCGATGTCTTGTACTGAAACCGTTAGACTATATTCATTGCCAGCACCAATATTATTTGGGTCTTCAAAATCCAAGTTACCTGTCAACTGAGAAAATAAATATGTCATGTGATTATCTATAGGCTGACATTCACGTATGACAACAATCACTTAGCAGGACAACATGAAGTTGGTTAAAAAGGTTTTAGTTATGCATTGATGCATGGTCTGACACAGACTAGCAACTAATATTAGTAATACCAGCTGCCCAATGACAAGGTGTTTTTGTTTAAACTGTCTTCGGCAAGCAGCTAAAACTTTCATTAAGTTTTGTGTTCTCAGTGAAATCTGACACAAATGAGGCATAATATAAGACCACGGGAAGAGCCAGGGGCTGGTTTTACTAAAGGCAAATAGGCTGTTCTTCTTAGCTCAGTGAATGCGGTAAAATTTCACTTTGCAAAGAATTCTCAATCATGTGCAAGGAAAACAAAAAAAACAACATTATTTTCTTTGCTTGCACATGATTGTGTGCTGGAAGTTACCTCACTTAGTTTGGCTGTCTGAGTATGGCTTGATCTATCTATGACCACTTTTACAATGGCAGATCCACATTGGGTCAATTCTGGTGGTCATCCGTAGCCCATGGATGCACCCTAAAACCTTAACGAAGAACTCCAGGATTTGTTAAAATGAACCCTTGCAGTGGGACTACCCTCGCACTGCAAGGGTTAAGTGCTCGTTTTGGTCTAGAAGTGAAAATAAAGCAGCCATACTCACTTGATCCTCCCCCTCCGTTCCAGCAGAGGTATATCCCTTGGATGTGTATTAGATGTGATGATGTCAAGGGTCCTTAGACTGCCAGAGCCTGGTGGAGAAGAGGCTGTGGGGACCAGTCTAGCAGCCAGGCAAGGTCAGGTGAGTATATCTCTTTTATTTTCTTCTCTAAACCAAAATGAGCACATAACCCTTGCAGTGCGGGAGTAGTCCCACATCAAGGGTTAATTTTAATAAATCCTGTTCTTCTTTAAGTACCTTAGATATACCTCACACACCCAAGTCTTTCACCCCTGCAAAATGTTATCTGGCAAAATCATCAGTTCTTGCTCTGTGGTCAAGGAGCTCAGATAGATAGCTGCTTCAGTGTAGTTGCAGCCTGCAAATTGTGTTTTCAGACTTTGTTTATAAATACTTTGTAACCATATCATGGTTACAATTCACTTAAACAGTTGAGGACTTAAAGTGACATTAAAGTCAAAAAAACATTTTCCCTCCCCCCTAAGTTAATGTCAGCACTTACCTTAAATGATGTTTCTTAATCCAATCTTCTTCTTCTTTCCTGTCGTTTTCATCTGTCCCACAAGCGCTGTGGCGGGTCCCCGATCCAGTGCTGACTCCTCTGTCCTTGCTGGCACTTCCTGTCCCACGGTGTCTGCATGTGGGTGCACGTGTCCATATACTTACCTTGTGTGTCTCTTCATCTCACGGCCGAAAATGTGATCTGCGCATGCGCTCGCCCCAAGATGCTTTGTGGCCGCCCGAGAATTTTCACATTTTCGGACAGGAGCGCGCGGGGAAGACACAGGTAAGTTTAAACCGCTTTTAAGGCGTAGCTGGCAATAGATATATGCAAAAACACTGGGGGCTTTATTTATACTTTAAGATGTATGTTGTACAGCCTAAAAAATGTAATTGTCATGTTCTTCTTCTCTGGCTGCTGTACTCTTCAATGCTATTGCTGGTAAATCCCAGCTAACAGAATGACTGCAGGGACCTGCCATTACAATAGGAAGCTTAAATGAGAAATACGATATGCATATGCACATCAAAAGGATGACCTTTTATTTCCATATGATGTCAAAAAAATTAATTAATAACATATGTTCCTATTTCATCCCTTATCAACCCCCTAGTAAACCCTAATATGCCCGAATTAACTTACTCCCCACCCCCTTCTCCTTTTTGCTGTATTTGTTTAATCATTCATACAGTTCAAACATTTTTCTTTTGTTTTAGTGAATAGTTTTGGTAGCATTACAGAAAAAAAATCAACAAAAAATATTTTTTATTTTCTTTCTAAATAATTCTGATGGTGGCATGACATTTTTTTTGCAGTGAAAATTTATGCATGGTTTAATGACTTCCCTGTTGACAGTTATATTGTAGTATTCGCAGGACCTATTTAGGCCTCCTACCTGCTGCTTTTAGGGTTAATTGAGTCATATAAGCAGCACTGCTGTGGTTAGTGGCCCTAATCTGAAAACAGCCCCAGCCCAAACAACACTAAAGGTGCCCATATACTGCACGATTATCGTATGTTAATCGCGGAAAAACACGCGATCGTACGATAATCGTGCAGTGTATGGAAGGCGTGCGACCGTTTCTACTGTACGGTCGCACGACTTTTGTATTTCGAGCATGTTCGAAAGCCAGCCCAGAATCGTACGATTTTCGACTGGTTTGAATCATGATCGTGAGATGACTGACGCATGGGCCGGTGTGCGCAATCGCACACTGCCCGTTCAGCATTGCGGTCATCGGAAGCCCGCCGCTCAGCGGGGCGGGCTTGCGATGATCGCAAGTACGATCTGCCTGTCCAAGATGGGCAGATCGTACGTTTTTTTAATTACTTTACAAGTTAGCCCTCGCAAGACAAAAGTCTTGCGGGGGTTGTAAAGTGTATGGCCACCTTTAATCCACCACTGACTTCACGCACTAGATATCCTGGATTACCAAACATGAAAGCAATAAGATGGTGGCACCCTAAGGAAATCTTTTCTGTGGGAATGCTCCTCTTCCAAATTTTAAGTTACAAAAATGTATCAGTCAGTAATGAATTCACCACAATATATGGGCAATCTAAAATCTCAACTACCAGTACTGCCATAATACTACCTACTGATCACATGAAAAACAAATCATACCACTATTTTGCCAGATCCTGATGGAATAACTTGAAATCGTTCATTGCTTCCAAGACCTGAAAGTCCAGTAAAGTTGAATATATTGTTTTGTGTGTCCACATCAATGTCTGTGCACTCATTGCTAAGATCAATTATAAGGGACCCGTTTGTTTCAGTCTCTGGAACTGCAACACTGTTATAAAAAAAACAAACAACATGCATATGTTTATTAACAAGTTTTAAAGTTTAGTCATCTAGTATACACCATTTTGTATTATTTACACTTCAGCATTTTAAAACACACTGGATATATTTTTATCAAAGTCTTCCAGAAGATCTGAATAGTTTGACTCACAGCAACCAATCAAACTGTCTTTTTTAGATGTCTTTTCTATTGTAGGTTTCAATATTTCCCACTAAGGCTCAGAACATCAGATTTAAGCGGCACAAGAAAAAAATTCTGCTACTCATTCACCCTATAGTTATAGCAGAAGGCGTTTTCAAATGTTTACAACAAATCCTGCTTCCACAATAACTGCAGAATAATCTTGTTAATTCAACCCACTCTCCCTTGAATAATATAAATATATATATATTTTTTATTTTTACATAACTACTTTCAAAAGTCATTTTATTATAGAATAGATTTGGTGAAGAAAAAAAACGTAATAATCTGTGAACAAAATGTAGCTGATACATCATTACAGATATCCTCTACTCTTATATGGTCATACAAGTGCTTCCTCTTACTTCGGAACACTATGACAAATAATACATTGTTTTGCATCTTACCTGAATGCATACTTGTTACAAACTGGTGGATTATCATTTATATCTTGAATGGTGATGGTTATAGTTGTATTGTTTGAGTGGCCTGCACTTGGAAGGTCACTCACTTTGATTTGTAATGTTATAACTGGGTTAAGCCTTAACGGGCTAGCATCACGATCTATCCTTTTGGCAATCTGAATTCCACCGGTCACTAAAATTTAAAATAAGAAAACTGAAGACACACGCAAGACTGTATACTGTTTTGCATTTAAATCAAGACTATGTTAAGTGGAAAGTAAATTCACTTTCCTGATATTCCTGATATTATTAGCAACTGTCATGAAAGAAAAAATTCCAAACTTACCCCTACCCTGTGCTTTTCACTCTCCTTTGGCTTTGTTTTTAGTTTTGCTTTCTAGTCCTAATGACGCAATAAAAGAGCACTGAAATTCACAGCCTGGATTCCCCTGGATTCTTCTGTTTACCTTTTAGCTTCCCCCCTGCTCCTCTCCTTCTCTCTCTTGCTCCTATGCACTTCTTGTACATCATCTCATCCCTGGATGGCACCCACACTTCTACCTATCCACTCCTCTGCCCTAGCTGGAGTGGATTTATCCCTTTCTTGCCATTTGCCAATCCAAGTGCCTATGCATTGACGAATTATATAGTTCCTATGCTTACTCGGTTGCACTTTGACCACTGCTTCAATTATAATTTTGATGTGTCCATCCTATTTGTTGCATTTACATGATGCATTTTTTCTTTTTGACTATTTTGGAGTATTTTCTGCTACAACAAATTTTGTATTTTTGTTCTTTTGTATTTTGTATTACAGATCCCCTGTTTGTTGTTTCCTCTAATAAAATATTTATATGAGGAAAAAAAGAGCGCTGAAATTATTTTGGTTGGTGAGATTCCACCTGGCTAAACTCATTTTATAGCTGGTAATACAAATTAGTAAAGCACTAAGTGCATTGCATTGTATGTTTATATACTTTATTGCAGGTATTTTTTACATAGAAGTGCACAAGATATGGTTTGCGGGCAAATATTAGCCTGCCTACCTCAATGGTTGGCAAAAACCTGACAATTCACTTGATTTCTAGACAACATCCCTACTTGATTGCAGTATATACCCTGGTTGCCCCCTGGCTCTACTGTTTTTTAATTTAGCCTCCCTCTTGCTCAGGTTCCCTTACAATGAACCTCGCATGTGTGCAGGCAGACTGTCTTTGGTTACCCTTTTTATATGCCCAAACCATTGAAATTGTACTATCTCACAGAGCTTCTTTCAGGTTCTGCATGATGGTTTGATTCCAATGTTGTCCTTTTTAATCTTCTGTACTAAGTCATAAGTCATTGTAATCAAACCTCACCAATAAATATGTGCAGCTAATGTTTGTGTTTTATTTTTTTTTTGCTTTCATACATTTATTTTAGAACCCGTAGCCAATTTTACATTAGGATTGTTTTCCCTAGGTGAGTTGGCTTCGCCATGTTTATAAAGTCCCCACCTCTGCTCTTGTTGAATGCTATTCTTTGTCCATTGGCTTTTGATTGTCTGGTGGGGTGACTCTAATTGAGAAGAAGCTGTTACCAACTTACCTCTCTTAGTTAACTACACTTAACACTTATAAGATAAGGAAATATAGACAAGTGCAATATAATTATCATGGTGGTTGGTTTATGCCTTATAATGATATGTATGAATTAGTAGTTACAGTTGTGAAAAGGTTCCTAATAATATATATGACTCTGAATAAACAATTGCTATCATTACATAGAGAAACATAAGTGGGTAGGATCTTACATTCATTGATGGAGAAATATTGGTTTGGTGTATTGATGCTATAGTACAGTGTGCTAACAAGGCCAGCAGCATCTGGGTCCACAGCTGTTATGCTGGTGTTTATAGTTCCTGGACTCTGTTCTTCAGGGATAGCAAATGAAGTGGTTGTCCTGAAATACATAAAAACAACATGGAAAAATGTCCTTTCCAACATATAACTGTTACTATAAAAATGTCCATACGATCAAACAAGTAAAGAGCCCCACATTATGCAGATAGTTTCTCTAAATGTGAAATCTGTAGAGAAATATATGGGTTGCCATTGCTGACTTTCTTCTGGAAATGCCTGGCTTTACCAATGAGTGTCCCGACAGATACTGTTGTTGATGTCTCTGTTATATCTATCCCACCCTATCCCAAATACAATTGCCTTTCATAAAAATATGCTGTGTATCATTTTTTTCCAAGTTACATACATATTGAAGTATGGCGTTTCATCATTGATGTTGGTTATGTAGACTATCAGACTTCCATTTACAGACAATCCTCCCGAGTCCGTCACTGTCACAGTCAATGGGTAGCTGTTGAAAAGAAACAGTGTGTATTTATTTGTGACTATTTTATAGCTTTCTGTTAACATCTATTTTGTAAAGAAAAGAACTCTGGATGTTTACCTTTGTGGGTCAGTCTCATAATCAAATGTTTTTGTAGACAGGATGTCCCCCATTGATATAATAAATGTGGCAGACGCAGGAGTCAGTGAGAACTGCAAAATATTTCAAGTTATTACCTTTTATTGGCATTGGCATTAACAATAATTTGTTGTGAATAGTTCTAGCAATCTCAACCAGGGGCAAATGTATAATCCAGCAAATTATTAATTTACAGATTATTCATTGCTCATTCACCTTACATTAAGGGCCTGTTCACACCAAGCCAGCCAGCCTGCTCCCTGCGTTTAGGGGCGGGAGGGGGCGTGGTGGTGCATTGAAGTCAATGGCACTGCAGCCACGTCCCCCTCCTACAATGCGATTGCCAGGCCCGGAATGCAGGCACATTAGTGCTTGCGTTCCGGTCCAGTGCGATCTGCAAAAATAGTGCTTGCATTATTTTTGCAGATCACATTGGACCAGAATGCAGGCACTAATATGCCCACGTTCCAGGTGCAGGTGATCGCACTGCAAGCAGGGGGCGTGGCTGCCATTGACTTCAATGCACCGCCACGCCCCCTCCCACCCCTGAACGCAGGGAGCCGGCCGGCTTGCGTTCCAATGCATTCCAGAGGCCGAATGCTCTGGAATGCAGCCTTTGTGGTGTGAACCGGCCCTAATAGCCAATTCCCACCAGCCGCAGCGCAAAATGCACAGTGGCTGGTGTGCTATGCCTGACACAGTGCTGTGCCGATCCGGCACATAATTTTTTTAGACCTTCACTGAAATGTCACAGGTGACATTTCATTAAGTTCTGCGGGCACAGTGGGGTGCAAGGTGGCTGTACTGCATTGTATCTCATTGCACTGAAAAGAAGTACAGCCTGGAGTACTTTTTTCAGCGCGCACCACTGTAACGTCCATGCTCTGCGGTGGTGTGAACCTAGTCCATCCGTGACAAGGCAAATTGCCTTGTCTTGTGTTGGGGCTGCACTGGTAACAACGGCTAGCACATCTCCAACGCATATGGTGTGAACCCACCCTAACTGTAGTTATAAAGCATATATGCAAGCCATGTATTTGCTAAATTAGACTGTATTTATGAACATTTTCCACACATTCTTCAACAGGCAATCCAAGTCCCAGTAAAATTCACAGAGGGGAATTTATCAAAACTGGAGTAAACAGAATCTGGAGCAGTTGTCTATGACAACCAATTGGCTTTTTCATGTTGAAAGCTTAACTGATCAAACTAGAGTAGCTGATTAGTTGCCATGGGCAACTGCTCCAGATTCTGACTGTTCCAGTCTTGATCAATTCCTCTCACGGTATTTATAATATGATTAAATGTTACTACACCAGAACTGATATTCTTCTGCTCAGTCTCCTCTTGGAGTGGGCAAATTTATTTTTTATGTGATTTGCCCATTGTTTTCTGTAGCGCTCTTCCAACTCCTCCTCCCACAAACTCCATGGATGTTAGTAACTTTCCCACAGTGTAAAGGGAATGTCTGCATATACAGGATAATCCAAACAAGGTAATGTGCCTGCTTTACCTGCTTATAATAAACATACCCCTTATGTTGTTGAATCCTTTTATATAAAGCAGGTGAAATGTTTTCATTTACAGGATATTACTTATTGGTTTATTAAAAGTAAACATATGAATATTTTTTTTTGTGATGTGGTCTAGAAAATTAACAACCACAGGGTCAGGAATTGGGGGATCTCCAAATCGACAAAGTGGAATTTTCTCCGGCTCTGGGGAGATTTATTCTCGCACCCTTTGTGTCTCTAGGAAAGGAAGTGAACCACTATCTTGTCAAGGAACAAAGACAGCAATGAAAACTTGACAACATTTTCTAACCCTTCCCCAAGGTGAGATATAAAATTGCTGGTGTTCTAATTTAATTAGGGTATTCGTTGGAAACCCCTGTCTGTAAAGTTTAGATATTCCTCAAACCAGGAAGACAAGGATTATATTTAAATGAATGTTTATATAATAGTAAGCAGCACATGTTTCCTTAACAGTTGGCTCTTTAGCATACACAAATCTGTACATTTTGTTTTTCCGTTACAATGTGTTGATTTCCACTTATAACTCCAAATGAATGTTTTCTTCCTAGTTTTCAATTTTCCAGGTACAGTAATAAAACCATTGCTCAGTCACATCATATAGTGAAGACACAGACACTTGCCTTTAGAGCACTTGCTTGATCTTCAGGGTCAGAAGCCAACACCTGATATATTGGTCCTGCAATCATTCCTTCTTTGATGTAAATTGTGACAACTACAATAAAAATGAATTGTTCAATAAATATATGATGATTACAGTTTGTACATGATTCAAGAACCAATAGCTTTCTACCATTTGATCCGGTAACTAATTAAATGTTCTGGACACACATTTATTAATTTATTTTATGCAAAGCCAAAAAGAAACCTTTTGCTTCAATGGAGGGGTTTTTCTATCGCTATGCTGCTGAAAACCACCTTTAGTAACATACAACTGATATTAGGCCTTGTATATTGTTAAAGAGATATTAAAGTAAAAAGGATTTTAAGCTATTTCAAATGCTGAATAAATCACTTACAGTGGATGCTGCTTCTTGATGTTTCAAAGTTTTAGCTTCCTGCAGAATCAGCTGGTCCCCTGAGCACTGGTCCTGACTTCCTGATTTAGAGTGACTCCTTTCTCAAGCAGAATGCTATGCAGTCACCATTATGTGTGCTAGTAAGTCACCGCTGCCGCCCCGAGGCCGGGCCTCGGTGGCCTTGTGGGAAATCCGGGCCTGAAGCTGTGTGTGTCTCCACAAACACACAGACACAGCAAATCAAGCTACATCGCTCCTTGCCTAGCCTCCTCTCCTCCCTTCTCCAAGCTAGTAGATGAACTGTTGCTGGAGACTGCCCTGTCCTTTGTGATCTTGTACTGGACAGGAAATTCAGGGAAGCTGAGCTGAGAGACTTGGAAGCAGCTGTTCAGAAAAATGATGACTGTACGTGTGTTGGCAAAAATGTAAAGCAATGCTTTGCTGAGCAATGTATATTTGTTTGATCAAGATTCATTACTGAATAAAGTTTAATCTTTTAATATTACTTTAAAGGAAAACTGTCATTAGAGATTGCTGGAGGCTGCCATTGCTGATGTCCATTACCTGGAACAAGTATAGATATAAGGGCTTATGACTTTTCTCTGACATTCATTTGCTGCATAATTATCAAGTCAGTGATTCAGAGGTATCAAAGTCAGATACAGTCAATCAACTACCATTTTCAAAGACCATCAACCATGGCAGCTTCTGTATTTCTGTCATAACAGGTATACTTTTAGGTGTATTTTCATCCAAAAGTTTTTTTGTTCTTTTTTACATTTTGGATCAATTGGGGAAGGGTTAAAACAAGAATTTCACCTGACAGGAAGTGAAGGGAAATCTCCAACAGCAACATAGACAGCAATAAAAATGTAGAAGGCTAAAACAGCTGTCAGATTGGAATTGCTGTATGAGTCTTTGTTGTAGATTTTCCATCTTGTCACTGTGACAATAAATGTGTGGAAATCTCTCTAATGAAAAAAAAGTTTTGGCTGGACATACACTTTAAAGTTGTCTGCTTATTGGGCATAAAGGATCTGCAATGTTCATAAACAATTGTGCTGTGCTTTAGTTTTTTGCATTGCACTCAGGTACCTTTCACAACTGTAGATAGTGATGCTAATGGGTTTATTCATAAACAAATTATAAAGAGCATAACCCAGATTTTCCTGACCTCATGTGCCTGATTGGTGAATTGTGAATTAATATTAGGGGTTCCTGTACTTATGCCTTCACTTGGATAGTCTTGGCTGCATAGTAGCTCAATAGAAAAATTACTATAAAAAAAGAGAAATAGCGAAGCCCTTAAAGGGCCATTCCTGAAAACCATGTTGAAAAACACATCACATTTGTGATCCTTATTACGTTTTTAATTTTTTTTTTATAATTCTTGCAACTTGTTATAATATACTTATTATTGATTATCACAGTATAACGCCGCATCTTCCAGTATAGTTGCTCTCATTTGTATAGGTGTAGCAGTCTTCCAGCAGTATCTCCCCCCCCCCAGCTGAGGCATTGCAAGACTTCTAGAAGCAAATGCATGCTGGGATTTGTAGTTTGACCACACCTAGAGGGCTAGAATTTGCCTTCCTCTTGGACAGCAGTATTGTCAATCTGTGGAGCTAGCAGATTTAGATGGACATGACTAAAGAATTAGATCTGAACGCCAGCTAACACTTTTTAAGCAGTTACAGCAACAGATTATTTGAGATAAAGGTTTTATATAAATGAATAAAGGCTGACTATTGCAAGTGCCCCTGTCAGTGTTAAATGGTTTGTCTCAACCCTCTGTCTGTGACTTTTGCTGGGCAGTTTGGTCTGTTAAAGAAAGTTGAAAAAAGAAAACAGATTTACTGGCTGGATCACAGATGAAAAAAAAAGGAAAAAAGAAAACTAATGGAGCCGTAAGGCATTTGGGTTTAGATACACTTTAAGGCTCTATTCACACCTAAGCCTCAGCATTTTAGGCTTTTTAAAAGTATTTTAAAACCTTTTTTGCTCATCGATGCATGTTTGTCAGGCAATTTTAAAGAGTATTTCAAAGCGTTTTGTGGCATGTTTTCAGCATGTGCTGTCCTCCATTTTGTTCCCCAGTGTTTTTTGCAAAAAGGAAGGCTGGCTCTTGTAGAACAAAAGTGCTACAAAATTGTTTAAAAAACCTAGAAACCGCCTGTGTCGTGTGCTCCCATTGAAGTTTATGGGGCCCAAACTGCATAAAAATAACTCATGTACTTTTCCCAGCAACAGGCATTTTGATACAGTTGACAGGATTCTCAGATGTGAACAGGTGCCATTGAAAACAATGGAAATCCTCTCAGTGTTGTAGCGCTTAGCCCTTTCAGCTACAAAACGCCTAGGTGTGAATGGGGACTAAAGTCAGCTGAGTGCACTACACCAGTGCCTAAGAAAAAGTTCCCTTTGGTTCCGACTGACTTTGCTTTTCTGCCTGACTGTCCAAGTTGTTTCTATGATTTGTCTGTAGCCTGTTTTTTCATCTGCTTGCTTGTCTGACTACCTGTCTTTACTTCCAACAACTATGTTTCTACCTTCCCATTTGGTACTTTGCTCCTTTCGCTGTCTTATAATCTGTTGTCCCTAGTGGGGCAAACCTGAAGGCCATAATCTGTAAATGAGGAGCAAAGCTGAGCAGTTATATACCTTCACAGATATAAAAGGACAGGGACGGCAACAACTACCCTGGAAGCCATCTTTGTTTTATTATTGTTTTTATGACAAGCAGTAAAAATAGGAAAAGCAGCAGATGATTACAAAAAGCATCCAGACTATAATAATTAAAGTGATTACTTTTCCATAAATCAATTTTTAAGAAAATAGCGCTGTAAGTTTCCACTACATGTTATACAATCCTCTGTTTAGAATATTAATTCATGATAATCATCAATCCTTCTCTTTTTTTGTGTCTTTCAAAGTAAGGGCTCATTAACACTATCTCCTTTTAGTTTGTGTTGGCTGTTTTTTTCCATTCCGGATGCAAGACTAGGCAATTTGCCTTGTCATGGATGGTGACAGTTCACACCACTGCGTTCCAGTGCATGCAGTACTTTTTTAAGCGCGCTACAGTGAGACGCAGTACAACCAAATTGCACTGCGGTGTGCCCATAGAACTTTAATGAACTGTTACTGTCACACAAAAAAAGAAACAGTGCGATGAAGCTTGATTGAGCACATCAGCACTGTACGGGCACACGCACAACAGCAGTAATGTGGTTGAGCATGGCTGTTGGTGTGAACAAGCCCTCAATGCTTATGTTCTAAACTCTATTATGTTCTATTATTTAACAATTGTATACATGAGTCATGTGTTTATTTTATTGGTAGAAAAAGGCAATTTTTCAAGCGCATTAATAAATACGATGAGGGGGGAATTTAATAAGACTGCAGTAGACAAAATCTGGAGCATCTATGCTTGGCAACCAATCAGCTTCTAGTTTTCAGTTTCAAGGCTTAACTGAATAGCCTGAAGATAGAAGCTGATTGGTTACTATGCACAACTTCTCCAGATTATTTCTGCTCCACATGAAAAGTCATGTGTTTATTTTATTGGTAGAAAAAGGCAATTTTTACAGCGCAATAATAAATACAATGAGGGGAATTTAATAAGACTGCAGGAGACAGAATCTGGAGCATCTATGCTTGGCAACCAATCAGCTTCTACTTTTCAGTTTCAAGGCTTAACTGAATAGCCCGAAGATAGAAGCTGATTGGTTACTATGCACAACTTCTCCAGATTATTTCTGCTCCAGTTTTAATAAATTCCTTCCAATGTGTTTTTAAAAAACATTTATGTGGTCAATTTTCAATATGTTAAAATAGAAATCGTTGGTAGGTAAAACTGAATAGGCAAACTCAGAAATGTTCTGTTTATATGCTTTATCACACGCTAATTGCAAACGCAGCACGTTCACACAAAGGCGTTTTGCTGTCGTGTTTTATGAGAAAATGCAACGTGCTGCATCTTGGATACCTTGTTCTGCATTGTCCCAAGTAGGTCAACTGAATGGGATCCTTTAAAATGTATATCCTTTAGTGTATGTGAAAACACATAGCAGATAACATGTGTGACAACATGAATAGGCCCCGAAGCTGATACACACCTTGATTTGCTAGGCTGCCCAGGAACACTGGAGGCTCATTGACGTTGGTGAGCTGGACGGTTAATGTTTTCAGTTCAGTAGCTCCTAAGATGTCTTCCATATATATTTGTAACTCAAAGGCATTAGGCATTGTTTCAAAATCAAGGGTTAGACTGGCACTTGTGGTTACCTGCAATAAGAGTGAGAGCATGTTCACACTATCACAGCACATGTACACATAAAAACAATAAAACAACATAACATTCATTTTAGGACATCTAATAATATCATATTATGATATTATTATATCACGTGTTTTTATTAAAATATTTCTTCTTCATATATATATATACATATATATATATATGGATTATTTATATTCATATTTATATTTATGCAACATTAAAAAATATATATAATCACAATTTCAGTATTCTTACTATACAGTAGTGTGTGTTTTTTAACTCCAACTGCATGCTTGTTCCAGAATAGTGCCTACATGTGTATTAAAGTCAGGAGCCTGGAGTCAGTGAAAGCAGCTCCTTTATTTCTATTGTTACCGGTTAACTTTAAAGGACAGGAAGTAAGGCCCCTTTCACACAGGCGTAGTCCATTCTGATCAGTAGGAGATCTGTGCACAGATCCCCTATTGACCGGACAGTATGGAACAGATGTCACGTTTGTCAGATCTGTGTCCATTCAGTTTTTTCCAACGATGGAACTAACTGTATCCATACTAGGTCTAAACGGAGATGGATGTAAGCAGACATGTGTCCATTTAATCAGATTATCTCCGATCCGTCAAGGCACGTTCGCCATAACAGAACTCTGTTAGTTTTTGTTTTGTTTTTGGACCTAGATCAGCGGTTCCCAACCTGTGGGTCGCGACCCCATCGGAGGTCGAATGACGATTTGCCAGGGGTCATTCGACCAGGTTTGCTATTGGCTGTTGCAAAGTGAAATAGCCAATAGGAATCTAGCTATGCATTCCTATGGTGGATTTTGTTTGTTTTTTTTTATTCTGATGGCGTACGCTAGTGGTTCTCAACCTGTGGGTCGCTGTGTGATTTCTGCTGTGCTAGATGAGAGTCCTCCTCATCCCTCTCCTAGCGCAGCAGTGTCAGTTCTCCCGCCACGCCGCCAGATGTCGCTGCAGCAGCCGCGTCATCCCTAAATTTTACCGTTGGGGGTCACCACAACTTGGCAAACGTTACCAAGGGGTCCCGGCCCTAGAAAGGTTGAAAACCACTGACCTAGATGGACTGAGAGGTATTTCGATCTAAACAGTCTGTTTAGATCTGACTCCCCATAGACTAATAGCCAAAGGCAGCCGAGTGAATAACCAAGTCGAAGTGAAGTGAGCCGAACGCTGTTCGGCCATTCACTTTTGGCTTGTACGGCTGATTTCAGCCATACATCGGCTAAAATCAGTACATCGGGTGCTTTCGGTCAGCTGAACATGCTTTGTGTGCAGAAGGAGTTCGACTCAGCATCTGGATCGGCTGAGCCAAAGCCCCGGCAGCTAGCTTGCTGCCGTTCGCCCCTATTCTCAGAATTAATTTTGTCAGTCAAAATTTCACAGCACTGAAATCTGAAAAATTGCCTGGACAGGAAGGGGGTGTAACATGCCGCTCCTCAAGTGGTTACACATGCTGCAAGTACAGAAAAAAAATGGTTGATGTGCCAGAAATATAGTATGCTCCTACCATCCTCTTTGACATGACAACACAGTGTAGAACTTCCAAGCAGGTGGTGTCAGCCCTGCCTACTTCCTTTCTGATGGATTACAAAGAACACAGGCTTCTCATCTCCTCCAACCCTCACCCCTCATCTCCATAACCCCTCCTTGTGCAATGGCAGACAGCAGAGGAAGTTACCAGCTCACAAGATTTGTGGCAAAATCTTTTTTATAAAACAGATATAACAAAAACCCTTTAAATAATATACTTAATGGACCAAAGGGGAGAAAATTCAGTGGTTTCTTGAAAATAATGGAATCTCTGCAAATACTTTGATTAGCTGAGATTAGTTTAGATTAATGGTTGCATGCAAAGATTATACATCACCGTTGTGTTTATAAGGAGGTCTGCAATGGCTTGAAAGAATAAATTAGTAAATTCAGCCGATTACCATTCAGTTAAAGAAAAAAAACTATTATAGTGTAATACTTACATAATACATAGAAGGAGTTGGATCAATGCGAAAGGCTTGAGTGAGGGGGCTACTGTTTATTATTGTAGGACCTAGCCTTAAGTTGGCTGTAGAATTGACGGAGAATGAATACACATTGGTGCCAGCTGGGGTGTTTTCCTGCACGGTAGTTGTGTTAGGAAGTCCATTAAACAATAATGTGCCTCCACCTTTAAAAACCAAAAGGAAACACGTTAAAAATATAAAGAACATACCTTTATATAACACATCCTAGTTTAACTTTACTTAAAGGAGAACTATGGGGTTAAGGCTTTTCCCCATAGCTCTCCTTAGGGTAACGGGAGGACACAAACTAGCGTTCTCCCGTCACCCTAGGCTCAGCTACTGCTCGCGGTATACTGAGATGCCGCAGCTGAAGCGCATCCCAACAATTGTGCCGGGATCCGCCCAGCTGCGTGAGTAACAGCTGGCTCTGCCTATCTAGAGGCAGAGCCAGCTGTACCCGCCCCCCCCCCTGTCCTTTCCGCCAGTGAGCGCTGGAGGATCGGAGCGGGGAGGGGGGAATCCAGCTCCTCCCCTGTCATGGCAGAGAGCTGTGACAGGATCGAGAGGTGAGCGAACGCCGATATGTGTTCGCTCACCTCCCGATCTACTGAGCCGACCTGTGACAGTCTCATTGTCACAGGTCGGCTAGAACTATGAGGTGAGTGAAAAGCACTCACCTCATAGTTCTCCTTTAAGGTTATAATTTTGTACACACATTTGCACATGCTTTTCTAGCGCTTTTCTAGCAACAGTGCTGGTGTACAATGCTAACCATTCAATCAAGGAGAACATTTAGCGTTATTCACGGGTGAAGAGTTTGGAGAAGGCAGGAGAAGTGAATAATCTAGGACAACATAGCTGAACTTGAAAGTGAGCTGAATTGGAGAATGTTTCCAAATCAGATATGTTGTCCTAGATTGTTCACTTCTCCTGCCTTCTCCAAACCCTTCACCCGTTTGTGAATAGCCCTGATAGAGTTAAAGTGATACCATTTGTTGGTTAGTAATGAGATTGCAAATGACAGCTTTCGAAAGGTTTTTTTTTCCTTTCGGAATGATATAAATGCTATTGTATTAAAGAACCACACATTTATATCAAACAATAAATGGGAATATTATCATTTACACTATACAAATGGTATTGTCTCTTTTATAGAAAGTTAGGCTGTAGTTAAAAATGAATTCATTTTTATTTTTATCATTAAAGTATTATGTTTCTTGCATTAAAATAATTTTTCAATAAAATAACTTGCACAGAACATTTTCTGTGGGTTCAGTCTGGCCATTCTGCTCATAAGATGGTTAAACTTATTTCCAGGTGCAAAATATATCCTACAATGTACAAAAGCATCAAATGTGGTATGAGAAAAGATCCTGATATATAGCAGCATTTCAGCTTTATACATCAATCAAACTGTCAGTACCAAAAATAACAGATGTTATGTCTTCTTGAAAGCAGAGATGGGGCAAAAGAGCCTGGAACAAGGGATGGAGGAAAGTGAAAAAGAGGAGAGAAAAAAGCAGGAGGTGAGGATGGGTTTTGCCCTGGGTAAAGCCACATATTACATCTCTAGCTTGAGTTAAGGTAATTTACCCAGGGCTGTCTGATCTGATCAAGTTGAAGTGGTTTATTATTAAAACTATGAGATAGTTTTTTATTAACCGTGATCCATGTTAGCTTATCTAGTAGGAGGGTCATACTGCGTAAGGTTTGGTATAGCACGCAATTGCGCTGAGCTTATGTTTAACTAATTTAAAGTTTATCGTTTCCTGCGAGACTGTGCGTTTACAGTTCTAAAAACAGGGAACGTATAAAAATAAATGTAAGATTGCGTCAACCTTGGAATCTCTGTAGTTGCATTAAATCTCCAAGCAAAACTAAGAATACAAATTATTTTTATGTAAAAGTTTATAAACTCATGTTTTATTACATTTTTTAATTATAATAGTAAAATCCTTATAATAAAAAGCATCTCCAGTACAGGACATGCCAATGACACTTAGGCTGGCCACCCAGAGTTCAATTTTGGCCAATTCCGGCTGAAGCGTTAGAAATTCGAGCTGTGGATGGTCCTGACGGCACCACTTGGTTTGACAAAAGCCATTTATTTCAACTTTTGTCAAAGGAGCTGGGAGAAAAATGATCAAACAGTGTCTGCATCCAACCAGATGCCGTCACTGTTCAGGTATTGAGCAGCCACGAGAACAGCGGCTTCTGAATACAATTTATGAATAAGGTTTCCTCTCGTTCAGCCGTGTGGCTAGCCTTTACTATTACATGCTTGTTGGCAGCCTCCAGTGACAGGCCCCCTGACGGCCGCGGGCAGCGGCCGTTTTTAAAGGCAGCACAGAGGCCCGGGGGGCAATTGCCACCCTGCCCCCCGGCCCAGTCCGCCCCTGATCCTGACTATGGTGTTTGACTACATCTCTTCATTGTAGGTGGCACAGTTACCACTGACATTCATGGGCAGGGCATTTGTTAGGTATAAGAAGTTAAATATTTGTTCGTTATAGTTGCCGTGCCACAATCTAAAATCCCAGACTAAGCAACAAGTTTGCCATGGGGAGGCAATTAGATTACATTTTCCCTATAAAATACTGTTAAGATCTAGAAAGCTGAACATATCAGTTGTTTCAAATGCGACTTCCGGGGAAACAGGACAGCTACTGCATTCTGTACGAATCAGAACATGATGGTATTGGGATGAAAGGACAGCTTGGGATAATATGGGCACAGAGAGTATAAATAGTTCGATGTGCTCATTGTTTTCTATTTGATTGGACAGCTTGGACCAATGGTGCTTTGCCATTGGTCCAAACCATCCACAGAGCTCAAGCCTCTAACAGAGTAGAGGCTGTTGCAGCTCTTGCCTCACAAGCCGCTCTGAATGGAGAAAAAGCTGTCAGCTTCAGATTTTAAGCTGACAGCTTTTTCCTCCATAATACTCGGTGAGGCTCTGCCTCACCCGCCTTCCCTGACCACACGTCCCTGGAGCAGCAGTGGCCCCCCGCTGTCCCCATGGGTCTCCCCGCAATGGTGGGTGAGAGATTCAGTGGCTTTCAGCTGCAGATCTCTCCCCCTATCACTGGACCCAGAAGTTATATGTTATTACATCACTTCCGGTGTCACTATTTACATTCTCCGGCTCTTACAGCCAGGAGAATAAGCTTATTTGGGGTCCCTAGGTGACATTAGGGGTCTGAAAGACTCCTGATGTCTCCATAAAGAGGACCTGTCACACCATATCTGCTATTACATAGGGGGCTTGTTAGCCCTCTTTGTGATAGCAATAAGGTAAGTGTAAAAAAAAAAAGTGTTTAAAAATTAAAAAAATTAAAGTAACATATAAGAAAATTCAAACAAAATGTAAAATCCCCCACATGCATGCACATATAGACGCGTTGATGCGCCTACGTGTGAAAACGACAATTGCGCTACACATGTTACATATGGCTGAGAACGTCAGAGCGAGAGCAATAATTCTAGAGACAATAATCACTGTTAGCACTAAACTGATGAGCCGTAAAAGCATTTAAATTGTTCCCTATGGGAAATTTGGGGTATTGAAGTTTTTTTGCGGCTTAACGGACGAGCGCAATTTTCAGTCTTGACATGTTTGCTATCTATTTACCCGACGTGACCCCATCTTTCATATTTTACCAAAAAATTCGGTATTATATTATGTTTCAGTGAACTAAATTTTAATTTAGTTTTTTTATCCTAAAAATACTGGTTTGATAAACATTTGTGAACATACCGTGCAGCATAAAAAATTGCAACTAGCATTTTTTTATTCTACATGGCCTCTGCTTTCAGAACATATATCATTGTTTGGGGGTTTGAAGCTGTTTTCTAGCCAAACATTTTAATTTTATCATGTGTGCGGAAATAGTAAGAAAACTGCTCCGGACAGCAAGTGGTTAAGGATTGCAGTTTAAAAACCCTCCATGATTGTTTCAATAGATATATGTTTTCACACCAGGCTACAGTAAATCAGCACTTGTCATCAAGCCAAGAAATATAATATAAATGTAATCAACCAGACAGTCTGAAAACAAAAAAGGTGAATGTGAAAAATACGGAACTGTTAAGCTCAGTGTTCACAGACCAAATAAAAGTAGGAATGAGGAAATATAAAAGCTTAAAGCTAAGCTCCAAACTGATATAAGCACTCAACGGAATGTTGTAATGCATTTGTTTAAAATCATTATATGTATTTTAAATGCGACCAGTGTAAGTACATAAATTTGTCTTTGTATCCGATTACTGCACAACAGGCTTGGAGAGGGAGGCACAGTACTAGGAGCCAATCAGATTCCCTACTGTCTGTCTAGGGAGAATGCTGAAAGGGGATGAGAGCAGAATTCATAGAATGATGACTCCTTAGTGTTCCCTTTATTGTCCAATCAACAGGCTGAAGGTGTGTTCTGAACCAAGCTGTGCTGATGCTGCAGCAAAGGTCTTGGGTCTGTCTGTGCTTGGATGTAGCGGAACAGGAACACAAGTATTTTACCAGGAAAGACAGTTAACGTGTATTTCTAATGTGAATTTAGCTTCTTGTCTGCAGTTCATCTGTAACTTTTACATTCATTACATTCGACTTTAAAAGAAAATATACAAAGAATGTATGTTTTTGCCTCCATTCGCAGAGAACAAACGCTCACAGTTTTGCAGGGCGACTTGTTCTGCAAATTATTTATAACTACGTCCCCAAGAGTTATAATTTGTTTGGGTGGATTTAGCAAAGTGTTCATAATCTTGTTTTATATTGTACATAAAGTAAGAAGATGGCTGTACCCTTTCACACTTGCTGCTAAAATTTGTTGGATCCTATTTTCTTTGATTGAAACCTAGACAACAGTTTGCTGATTGTTTTCTAGTGTTAGGAAGTATGACTTCTTTTGAAAGCAATTGAAGCACCCATACATTTCAGATGCATTGGCTCATACTGTTGCCTAAGCAGAACACTGAACTGAAATGTTACTTGTGCTTTGTTCACTGTTACGTACACTAATATGCATGGAAATGCCATCAATGAAAGCTCTAGTTTTCTTTTCTACTGCTGAGATACAGTACATCACACAGTTATATGCAAACATGACTATATTGTTTTCTTAAGCTGTGTAAACCTGAAGAGTTGATTTTCCCCTTTTCAGTCTCTGTAAAGAGAACTTAAGCTGCCACTAAGTTACATTTGTTATTTGTTGTAATAGTGTCCAAAGGAACATGTATGATATCAGGACATGCAGCTTTGGGATGTCATTATTTCCACAATGACCGTTCTTTTTGCATTGCTAGTGGCTCAAAATATATAAACAAATGCATAATCTAAATAAACTACAGATGATATATATCAGTACAGAATATATCAGTACAGAAACTCATAATATCTACAGGTTCATTTTGCTTTCTTTGCATAGAATAATGCTTAAGGCCAAAGTCCACTGTCCATACTCTAACCGTAACGCATTTCTAAACCCAAAAAGCCAAAAATTGTATTCATTGCAGCTTAACATGTCTTCAATGTGGTGGCTGCATTAGTTTTCTTTTTTTAGGCTTTTTTGCTTTATTTTCACCCAGTGATCCGGCCAGTAAGTCTGTTATTTTTCAACTTCCTTTAACAGACCAAACTGTCCACCAATAGAGGCAGTTGGAGAGTTGAGACAAACCATTGAACACTGACAGGGGTGCTTACAATGGTCAGCTTTTATTCATTTATGTAAAACCTTTATCCCAAAAGGAAAAAATAAAATAAAACTGCAGTTGTAACTGCTTTAAAAGTGTTAGTTGGAGTTCAGATTTAATTTGTCCATCTGAATCTGATGCATCTAACAATACCCTCTACACAGGCTACGCCACAGAGTGGAGCCACCCTAAGACAGGAAGTGTGTTACTGGCGGTACCACCAGGTGAAAATAAAGGGAAAAAGCCTAAAAATGAAAACTAATACAGCCACCACATTTAATGACTAGTAAGCTTCAATATTTAAAATTTGTGTTTTTAGTTTACATTAGGGATACACCGACACCGGATTTTCGGTATCGAGTACGAGTACCAATATTTTGCTTTTGGTACTCACCGATACCAAGTACCGATACCGGTGCTTCCGTTGGCATGGACCTGGCATCCTGAGCAATCAGCTGTTCAGCCATCTCGATGCTGATTGGGCGGGAAGCCGTCTTCCCAGCCAATCAGCAAGGAGCCTGCTGTTCGGCCGGCTCAATGCTGATCGGCCAGGAAGCCAGTTTCCCAGCCAATCAGCATGTTACGGCTTCCCGGTCAAACAGGAAGCTGGGAGGTGGGTCGTTACTCGCCACACAGCTTCCTGATTGCTCAGGAACCTGACTCCATATTCCCCTATGTCACTGCCAGTCAGAGGAAATGTTCCTCTGACCAGAAGTTCCAGTATTAAAGAAGGTATCGGAGCACTTGGGCGAGTACTCTGCACCGATACCGATACTAGTATTGGTGCATCCCTAGTTTACATACACTTTTGCACAACCTTATACAAAAGGAAAGAATTCACAGACCCCTCTCTACAGAATGGAAGGCTGACACAAGTAGAGAGGAGTCACAGATCCTGTGACATAAACAGGCTATTTCATCGTAGGTTTTCCAATGTATAAATGAGTGGAAGCAATGATAAAGCTCCTTATCAGACAGAGAACAGGTTGGCAACCCCCTGCTCCTCAATGCTACTTCATGCAGTTCTAGGCTATTCTCATGCAAACTGACTTACTTGATAAAACAATAAGGATAATACAGTAACTCCTAACAACCAATCAACATTTTTTCATTCAGAATTCTCATTTCAGTAAATTGAAATGTGGATGGTTATGGGTTAATACATTACCTTATTAAATGACAATTAAGTAACCATGTATAATACAGCCTGGCTGGATTTGTGTTATTTGCCCGCATGTCACTTATTTTTATATTGTCCCTTAGGGGACCATACAGTTTTTATATTCGTTTAATTATAAAAATAACTTTATGGTACACTATTAAATGTAATCACAATAATAAAAAGACACACATTACCCACTGTCTCTCCTTCTCCTTATTTTTTATATCCCTCAAGTGTTCACCAATTCTCTATTGTAACTGACATTTCGTCTTTCCACTATAATTTTTTTTTTGCAAATTCTTTATTTCAGATTTTCAAGTATAGGTAAAGAATATGAAAGCATACTAGAAAAAAAATCAGGGTAAGAACAATATAACTTTTTTGGCAAAAATCTTGGGCAAATCTGAGAGCCATATCATCAGTGGTCTCAGCGAACTCTGAAAGGACTAGTTTTTACTGCTTCAAAACATATAGATACATACATTCTGCCTTTGATTACATTTTAATTGTAAAATATTTTGTTCTATATTTTTAAAAAATACAATTATTTTTTCCCTCTATATTTTAACAAGGAGAGGTCAATTTTTTTTTACTCAATCACTTACTGTTGTAATTTTATAATATCCATTTTAGCACAAATATGTTAGAAAGAAAGCAGCTTCAAACAACATTAAAATACTCTTAAGCTGAGTCATGGTATTCTTTGGCAATCACAGTCTCACTCCTGTGTTTCAGTGGGGAAGCCTAGTGTTTGCTCAAACTGGGTCTTATTAAGAATGCACAGGTTACATGTGATACATTTCACAAATGCAAAGCTTACATATGGTATGTATAAGAAATCCAAATGGGTCTGTTCAGTGGTTTTTGACCAAGTAACCTGTACAAACATTTTGGTTATATGCAGGGGAAGTTAGAGATGGAGAACATGGGACACAGAATCCAATCAGACAGGTCCGGGGAGGGGGACCTTGTGTTTCTTAACTTTTCCCACAAAACCAAAGATGTCACATTATACTGTAATGCTGTTTATTGCCCTTGTACATTTAAATGTGGAATCAAGGTTATTGTTTTAAAGTGTATCATCCTTTTATATATCTAGTAAAACTTCTAACCATTACCACAAGACCCTAATTTATTACAACTTAAAATCTAATGCCTCTGCGAGAGAAAGCCACGAATGCTCACTCTAGGGAAGGTTTTATCAAAGCAAATGAGCATATTTATTTTCCTGTATTGACAGGGTAGAACAAGATAAGAAGCAAACGATAAAAAACCCAGATTATACCAGGTACTAAAAGTGAAATTACTAACGCATAATTTGCAAACAAAGCCTCAGAAGTTACTTCAATAAAAAATGTAATTGTTAACTACTCTAAGTACTGATGGCAAAACCTTAACAAGGATATGACTGCATACTAGTCCAGTACTGGAAATGACCCAACCTTCAAACTCTATCATCTACATCCAAGAAAGAACATTTTGTAGTGTGGTTTATCACAAGATTCCCATTATGCAGAAACTAACTTTTAATTATGCATTAACAATGTCATCAATCACTCTGTCTAGATCACTGGAGTACTGTGAAAGGTAGGTGAACCATCATAAAACAGCAAGAAATTCACTTTGCCCACTAACACGGTTTCAACGTTGAAAAAACTAAGACCGCCATTTCACTTATAACAAATAAGACATTCAAAAAACATTCATATTCTTCTATTGACTTACTGCTTTTATTATAAATCTGAAATCTAGAGACATAAGGATTACCCTATAAACATATGTAGCCCTATTTTAATCTGCTATTGGGGCATTTCTATTCATTGAACTAGCAAGGACATGACAGAAGGTGCACATAATGAGCTGTTTGTAGAATTCATGATATCAGGGGGCCCAGTTATACCATCTACCTTTTCTTATTCACCAGCTGACTGCCAATTCTGTACAAAATTACACACAGGGTTATTCACTAAAGTTTCCAGTTCAGCTATGTTGTCCTAGATTGTTCACTTCTCCTGCCTTCTCCAAACTCTTTACCCTTTTGTGAATAACCCTGATAATGTTTCATTCTCTCTTACATTCCTTTCCTTATGTCCGACATAGAAAACTTTACTCTGCACCTTCTAGTCTCTAATTCACATACAGCTACTTTTCATAGAACAAATGTTTCTGCTCCAAATCCTGTAAAGGGCACAAAATATTAAGAAAAAAAAGTTTGTGGTTAATACTTTAGTAATCATTTACACAATGAAATACGTCTAATTTAGTTCCTTGTTGCCTATTTTATAGTATAGGCAGACGCCACTCCATGAAGCAGTCTATACTGACCGAATGGACTTTTGGCTTGGATCTAATAGTAAGAAGTGCACTTACCAGGTCCTATAACACCCAGCAGAAAAAAGAGGAGTCGTACTTTCTCCATGTTCACCTGAGAGCGTGTGTTGTGTGTGTACAGTATCACAGGATCACAGAACTGACTAGTGGAATGTCTCGCTCTACCTGCCTGGCTGTTAGCTAATCTCCTCCTCTGCCTAGAGAACAAGCTGTCAAGTTTCAGATAAAAGCGTATCTAAGGGAGTACTTACACATCACTCATGCCTTTGCTGCAAATTGTTCCCTTACTACATACAGTATTTATTCCATCTAATACTCTGCACTATAATATTTGCAATATTGGCATGTTTACAGGGTAGTATCCTATGTGTAAGCAGCAATCCTTATAATGGATGTCTTAATAGGCAGTAGGGAGGAATATTACAATGAAACAGAAGCAATTGTCTTTCTATGGGGTGGTAATAGCTGCATCTATCGTAATAATATTACAATGGGAGGTTACTACACCAGTGCTGAATATGAATAATTTCTATCAGTGAGCCAGAAATGGAAAGCCATGCCTCAAATTGCAATAGGATTATTAAATTGGCTGAATAAACACCAAAAAATAGTGCAGACTTGCATTACTATTGTTATTGTGTAGAGTCCTATGGCATAGTAATAACTTCATCTGTCCTGATCAGGGCTGGATTAAGAGCATCATGGGCCTGGTGCTGAAGATTTTGGTGGGCCTTTTTATGGAAATGTCCACAGTGACCAGGGCCCTCTTCCTCCTGTCCAGGCTGTGATTTGTAGTCTCTCTACAGCTTGGAGTCAGTGGGGGAGTGCCAGGGCTCGGCTGCAGCTGTGAGCCTGGTAGAACTGCCACTGACTCCAAGCTGTAGAGGGGCTATAAGTCTTAGCAATACATTATACAGCAATGCAGAATACCGCCAACTATAGGAGGACTACAAATTCCAGCAATAAATTACACAGTAATGCAGAAAACCACCAGCTATAACAAACTGCAAATCCCAGTAATGCATTACACAGCAATGCAAAACACCACCAACTATAGAGGACTACAAATCACAGCAATACATTATAAAGCAATGCAGAATGGCACCGGCTATAGAGAACTACAAATCCAGCAATACATTGTTAAGCACTGCAGAACAATAACATCAGCTATAGAGGACTGCAAATCCCAGCAATACATTATACAGCAATGCAGAATACTATGAAGCTACATACTCTGTGTTGGCTGCCGCTTCAAGCCCACCACTGCAAATTGGCCCGTCCGACCCAGATTGCCTTGGTATGTGGGCCGATGGCAATCTGGGCCGCAATCAGGCAGCGACGGCCTTCTATTCAGGCCAGTGGCGGAACTACCGCCGGTGCAGCTGGTGCCGGGGCACCGGGGCCTGAGGCTGTGGGGGGCCCAGGGGGGTCTGGTCCTGGGCACCCCCACAGCCTCAGTGGAGTCCGGTCCTGCAATATGGGGCAGTGCACGGTCCCGGTGTTCGAATACCAGGGCCCCGCACTGCCGACGGGCTTCTCAGTGAGGGGGCGGGTCCTGTGACTCACCTCCCCTCTAGGCCGCGTCCTAGTAACAGGCAGCGGGAGGGGAGTCACAGGAGGCGTGTGTGTGTCACAAGCCCCGCCCCCTGCAGTGCACACATCGATTAGAAACTCCCTGGCTGCTGCGATCCTGTGGCTGGGTGAGTCCCACGCGCAGAGGGGGGAGGGGGGGAAGGGTTGTGCACTGCTTTTTCATGTAATAATTAGACAAGTGGATTATAATGGGAATATTACACTGTAATGTTCCCTATTATAATCTATTTCTCTGATTAAATGATTACAGACAGGCCTCTGTTCTATCAAAGTTTGAGACTACATTAGAATGTGTGAACAGTGACGTGGTCACACATTTTAACGTAATCTCGCCCAGTTTTTCGGCAGTGGAATAGGTGAAGCATTCCAACACGTTCTCCGCTGTTCCAGGCCAGATCGGCATTGCAAATCGCATGTGCAGGAGAACCGATCTGCCCTTAAACAGCTGATCGGTCCTGAAATGTAACCACTATCTGACTTTGTGAATACGGTGAAATGTGAGATCACAGTCGGAGAGAAGTGACATTTCAGGACCGTTCAGCTGTTTTAGGGCAGATCGGTTCTCCTGCACATGCGATTTGCGATGCCGATCTGCCCTGGAACAGCTGGGAAAGCGCTGGAATTTTTTTACAGGATCTATGGTGTGCTCTGCAGGGTCTTAAGTAAGTCCAGCACGCTACTGCAACAGACCGCTGGGGGGACGGGGGCCAGTGTGATCCGCTCCTGCGCCCCCCCCCCCCGTCTTGGAAGGGGGGCCCAAGATAAAATCTTGCACGAGGGCCCTTTGTTTATTAGATTCATCACTGATTCAGGCATATTAGAGGGCCGCTCGTTAGGGCCTCTCGGGGGCCCTAGTGAGAAGCGAGTGGCAGTGCCACCTCCCTCTATGTTAATCTGGCCCTAAACCTGATAGAAACACAATGAGGGAATTCATGAAAACTGGAGCAGACAGTCAGCTTCTCTCTTCAGGTTTGTTCAGTTAAGCTTTCAAAATGAAACAGAGAAGCTAATTGGTTGCCATGGGCAACTGCTCCAGATTCTGTCTGCTACAGTTTTTATGAACCCCCCGCAATGGGAGGTAGCTACACCAATGCTAGATTTGAACAATTTCTATCAGTTAGAAAGATATGCCCCCTATTGCAATAAAATCAATAAACTGGCTGGAAAAAAGAAATAGTACAGGCTTGTGTTACAAATTAATCTCACCAATACTACAATGCACTGGTGTCCAGTATGCAAGAAGGGGTTGGATCAGGAGTCCATAAGAAGTCTCCAAGGGATTGTTGAGGGCCAACAGCAGGCTCACATTTGCCAATCACCAATTGTCTTAAAGCGTATATCAAGCAGAAAACATTATTTTTTTAAATTATGGATAGATTGGGGAAGGAATTCAAGCCCTGTGTGGTTTAAACACCCGCACTTCCTCTGGGAAAACATTGTCAGCAGCACAGGAAGTGAGGGGGAATCCCTCTAACCAAGCCCCAGAAAGCAGTAAAACAGTACACTTTAATTGTGCAGTACAACTAAAATTCAGCTAAACAATCAAACAAATTTCTCTCTCAGAACATTCATGAGATGGATTTTCTCTTGGTACACTGAATTTCCAGCACCTGGAGACCTAGGGGCCAAACACAATTAACTAGGCTTTTCATGGTAGGGATAAGTTACTAAAGAAAGACTACTAGGCTAAAGAAAGAGTATTAAGCAAAGCATGCCATGATGCCACATTGTTTGGTGCGCATGGTGAAAGGTTGATGTTCCTAGGAGACATGTTTGGTTAATTGAAGTGAATGTTCACACAATAAATTGTGTAAAGTTTCTTAACTCCTTTAGGGCCCTTTCACACTTCTCCATTCCTGTGCGCTGCATTAACCCACATTGTGTCACGCAATAATGCACGTCACGTAAAGGCAGTCCATTCATTTTCACACAGATGCCTATGCAAAAGAATGGAGAAAAAAGGACTGAAGCCAATAACAAGAATGGAGTTGAGAAAAAAGGACCAATGAAGCCCATAACAACGCACAACAACGCACCAAATGCACTGCATCACAAAAATGTGACTCGTCCCTCACTAAATAAGTCCAACTGCTTCAGAGGAGCAGCTTCCCCATTGTCATCTTGCTACATTATTGTTTGGAGTTCCTTTGTGAAATGGTCTTTTTCTTTCTTGTAGACCTCTCATTTCTCTTGGTGGAGGTGTCCTTTAAATAATGCTAACGGGGAACTCCAACCTTACCCTTTTTCCCACACTTGTAGCTCTCTAGTTTACTTTCCATTCCCTGCAAACATGCATCCCTACAGCATAACCCTTTGAAGCTGCAGCAGCTATCATGAGCCCTCTGTCATTTCCTGTCTGGAAGACTTCCATCGATTCATCAATCACTTCTCCCCCTGACCCCTACTGTTGTTGGCCCTCCTCTCACAGCTATTAGCTTTTTCTGTCATCAAATATTTTGATGTGAAAGAACAAACCCCTGGCATCCCTTTAGACATGCCTGCAAAAAGTCAACCAATTAGCAAACTGCAGTCTACAGAATCCAGTGGCCACCAAAGAGAAGCAGGTACATCTAAGGGACAACCTGGGGATGTGTTCTTTCATAAAATGATTAAAGGAAACATGTTGTCCATGGACATCAGCCATGTCATTTTCTGACCTGCAATAAAGCCCCAATCACACGTTGGAGTGTGAACGAATGCAAAAAAGTGTGAAAAGTGCATGTTAATGGCCCCTGAAATGCAACAAGGAAGACAGTGTAAAAATGCAAGGTCAAAAAATATGCAAAGCTTTCAGCTCAAACTGCTGAATGAGCGTGTTTTCTGTGTGCAGGATAGCCCATTGAAATGAATGGGCATTGGGCTGCCCCAAAGCAGAAATGCAACAAATGTGCATACCCACTGCACGTGTTCATGCATGCACCAAGTGTGAATAGGACCTAAAAGTGTGATTACATGAGTCTGGTTGCCATAGGCACTTACAGCACATGGTGAGGGGGGAGATTTATCAAAACTGGAGCAGACAGAATCTGGAACAGTTGCTCATAGTAACCAATCATATTCTATCTTTAATTTTTTTTAAACTTAACGGAACAAACTGAAGATAGAAGCTGATTAGTTACTATGGGTAACTGCTCCAGATTCTGTCTGCTGCAGTTTTGATAAATTCTCCCCACTGAGGGCTCCAGTAGATTTTTAAACATTGTCAGAGTGGGGACACCCACACTGGAGTACAAGAAGCGTGCTTTTTCACCTTTATGTTGAAAAATGAAAAAAAATATTTTAATATATGTTGAGATTTTTCAAAGCAAGTATTATATTAGTAGAAATACAGGAAAAAAAGGGTAAAAAAAATACAATGTTGCTTTCAGACAGAGATTTGACTAAAAAAAGCGTAGCTACAGTATGCTATTGTTCAGCAGGTGTTTTACACAGACTAAAAGATGTGACTTTAGTGCCCTCTTGTGGAAGAAGATTTATTTAGTGTTTTGAAATATT